ACATGTATGCAATGTGTAATCTTTACATGTATCTGATGTGCATGTACCATAAGATAGTAGCTTAGCATACAGTGTGTGTGTATCATGAAATGTTACATTCAGTAGTGATGATGTGCCCAAGACAGGGCTTGAAATACTGTGTGGGGCATAAGTTGTGCACTGCATTTTTTAAATATCAGGTGAACAGATGAACTGATACTCTATGATATTTGTGTAGGGTTTTGAATGTAAAGGTACTGCATATTCTTGACATTTAAGTGTAAGAAAAAATATCAAAACTTTTATACATGTATTAGTTGTTTAAGAATTTGAAGTTAGCTATAGAATTCCAGATTTAAGCTCCAGAGCTCTAAATACTTTTGTCCACATACCTGCACTAGTGCTGATAACATTGAAACTTACCTGCTCCAGATAAAGTTTACCTGGACCACTCAGAATTGAGGAAGTAGGGATGTAACCTGCATTAGTGCACCTATTCTCGATAAGGAATTTCAAGCCCTGGGCCAGGGGAAGGTCACGCACACATCCCAAGAGATTTGCAGTTCACAGAAGTCCTCAGAAATTAAGGAAAACTGGGGATTGAATCAATAGCTATTGAATCACAACATTCCAAATCAACTTATGCAACCTTGGGGGGTCGAAGCTCAAGGAAAATTGCCATTTTCATTCATGTACAGCCTTCAACCTCGCGTGTTATGTAACACAATCGTGTAGAATTTGGAGAGTCATTTTCCAAATTCCATTAGAGCGATGTGTTTGAGAGTTCTCATTTTAACTTGTAACTGGGACATAAAACAAGAATGTTTCACATGTGGTTCATGTCCAGAATGGATCTCTTTATTTTCTCCTTTTCAAAAAAGAAAGAAAATATATGAAGTGGCAAATTGGAGAACCAAGAAGTAAGATTGGTTTGGCCTTGGTTTTGATAAGCCTGCCGGCTTCATTGCTTTCCTAACAATATCTGAGAACCAACAAATCAAATTGATGTGGCCTGATAAACCAGGGAAAAGACAGTTTCACATTTATCAACAGTTATCATGCCGTACCAACTGAAGCCTTTTCAGCACCACAGACATGGTATACACATGGGCGATGTCCTTGGTGCTGAAAGTTGCTAAATCAGTGTTATTGCAGCCAAAACAGTGTATAGTACCAGAATGCACTGATCTCTTGAAATTTGAAACAATAGCAAATTCCAGAGCTCAGTTAGCATCATTGTTAATTATCTCTTGAACTACAGTAGCAGACCAGGTGAAAGAAAGTTCATCCAGATATTTTCTTTAGGCATTGATGTAAGGCTGACTGCCTGTCCTTTGAAAAGTGGTAGATGGCCATACACTGTTGGTTGAAGAATTATGCAGTACTTTCTGCCTACATTACCTATTTTTAGTTTGAAGCCTTGAACTTTACCTGCTGTTATTCAGGTATAAGTTAAATGATGAATAGTTTACTGAACACAATTCACAATGTGAAGGCAGTTGGGGACCATGACAAAACCCCGGAAAAACATTTCTTAAATTTCATATTGTTAGAATTATACACGCTAAAAAGAAAGGATTTAATTAAGATATATTCACATAAAGCACAGACTTTTCTTTACATGGTTTGTAAGGATTGTTTTGTGAAACTGTGGTTGCTCACTGCTACAAGTCAGAACATGCCTCTTGACTGATACTTAATGGAAACAAAACAGAGAGCCATGAAAAATGTTAATTTAAAAAATGGACAAAAATATTAAAAAGGACATTATAAAAACCCCTTCCGATGATCATAATTTGATTGAATTGCAGATGCTAAAAAGAAATGTATTTTAAATTATTGCTTTTGTTTTAAGCTAACATTTCTTTTGATATTAAGAGTGATATAAGTCCATGTAGTTACTGTTCGGAGTCAGATGGCTGACTTGAGCCCTTTCCACAGTTTTTATTATCAGTGCCACCCGACCAGCGAAGGGGCCAGAAACCCCGGCAGGTATAATCCATGTGTTCCGTGTGCAATCCTGAGGAATGCATTCTTCCTACAGGAAAACTGGGAATACAAAAATCAATACGGAACAATGGAGGCTTGGGTGCTCTGTTGATGAATTCCGCTTGAATGGTGCTCTTGTTGCCGTTTGGGGGCCGCGGGGGTTGCTTCAGTGTTGACCCCGGACCTCAGAGTCCACAGGTTGTAAATAATCGCACAGGGCAACAACACCGTTCTATTTACCAAACCCTCCAGCGACAAATTAAGACAAGTCGTTCTGTCCCTACTGCTGGACTTGCCAGGAATCTTTCCCCTCTCTTCCACCGCTGAAAATTAAGTATCATGCAATTAATGCCGCCGCCCCTCTGTATTTTGTCCAGTCGATAATACATTATTGATGGTGTATTCTTGTGGGGTTCTAAACAGTGATCTATCCTGCGGCCGTAACCCAACCAGAATTGGTGGATAGTTGTGGTTAATGAAATTAAGTGCCCGCCGTTATGTATGGGACCTGGCTCCCCGGCAGCTTGTTTCTGGCTTCTCCCTGCTGCATATTCCCCGTCCCCTGACTGTGCCACAAGAACCTACGGCTGTGATCTTGATATTCAAATAACCCTGGGAGAGGATTCCCAAAATTGATTGTGCATAAGTAAGCACCTGAATAACCAGGGAAAAGGCGGAGGGCAGGGAACGCATGGAGCCCTTTCATTGGTGCTAATAAAATGATTGATTATCATCCGGGTTGATTGGTTTCCATTTCATTTCAGAGGTGTTGCGTTCTGCTTGAGCGAGCCATAATTCCGACAGGGCAGGCCACACCTGCTCTCCTACCTGCTCCCTCTCGCAGGCGGCAGTGGCGACGTCTACCTGTGCCTCACCCCGGGGGCCCTGCAGCGTGGGGGGGTTTCCCCTTAACACACTGCACATAGGACGTGTGGCCATGCACATGTACGTGTACACAAACACACCCAAATGTACATAAACATGTACAACCCACGTCTGCGTGAACGTTCTTACACACACGTACACCTTAGCCCCGGGTGTGAGCTGAATGCGTCACTTATTGGGCGACTTGCGTGCTGTGAGGGAATGTTCGAATTCTGCTGTTTTGTTTGATACAGTCGATCGGTTGAATAATTGATGCGGTAATAGCGGCAGTTAAAGTAGTCGGCGTTATCAATGTGTTTGGGCGTTTCCTGCCTCTTGAACTTTACACGGAAATCTCAAACTTGGAATCATATCATATGGAGCTCCTTATGCACAATATTTTTCAGGCATAATCCAAGTACAATGTGTTGAATGAAAAATTGTATGTATGGTCCTGAACCAAATATATTGCCCTCCACAGCTGTCAATCGCCACAAGCTGGCCAATGAGAGGGCTCTCTTTTCATTTTGACAAGTGTGTCGTACAATTTCGTGCATGATCTGGGTCTCAACGATTATTCAAATCAGGTGGAAGTGGTTCCACGTGTATGTCATCCCAAGTGGGGAATAATGGGATTTGTCAGCATTAAGTGCAGCGTAGTACGCCCTGCTCACTGAACTAGCGCTCTGATTGTTCACAACTCCCAGTAGGGCCGTGTGCCTAAAACATTTTCAGGTGCAAGTATTTGTAAAGTAGTTAAGGTACAGGGCCGGAAATTGCCGTCTTTTTATTACATTTAATCTTCTTTCCTAACCATTTTGATCTTTTTCCTAATTTTCAAGTGCTAAATTGTCAAAACTGTCATCTTTGAGACAGAATTTACACATCTTCAATTAAGTTAGTTTTGGAAAAATGGTACATGTATCTACCGGTATTTTTGTTCAGGCAAAGTTACACCAGAATTTTTATCCCTGCCAAACTTGCTAACATCTAGCTCTGCCAACAAGAATTATTCTGGTCTATAAACAAGTTACTTTTGTACCTCTGAGCCTGGTCCCCCTGTGCTGTTGGTGGCGTCTAATTTTGCCCTTATTACCGATAGACAAGACAGACGCCATAAGACTCAATCCTGTCTGGATTGTCCCATCCCAGGATGGCTACTGAGCTTGTAAAATGATGAATTTGTTAATTGTGTTGTCTAAGAGTGGGATTTATATGGTGGTGCCTATGATAAAAGAATCAAGGGGTTCTAACGAGGATGAAACTGAGAGGACTGTCTGATGAACTGCTGGGGAGCCATGAAGAGCGCGGGCGGGGTCGGATCAATAGATACTGCCTGCCTGCAGGCCGGGAGACAAGCCCCTGCGGTGTTGTCTTCTTCCCAAGTATTGAACACACTGATCTCATCTTAAATAGCAGAACTGCCCACTGTAATTGTCTTTGTTATGAGTATGAAGGGGAAAGAGACTGTTTTCTTCCTTTTTTATTGTTTTTTTTTACAGTAAATGTTTTTCTCAGAGAGAGTCTCTAGCTTATGTTGATGATGTCTTAACAGTATGAATGATAGACTGTTAATTCATACTGTTAATAAGTACACATTGTACTAATGCCTTACAAGCATTGTGGAACAAAATCTATATGTATTGTCTGTTTTCTTTCCATTGTCCAAAGCTCATGTAAGTCTAAGTGCAAGCTTGCTATCCACTTGGGGCGTCTATCCCTTAGGTGAACATTGGGAAGTGTGCATACACAGGCTGCAATCGATGGCGCTCCATTTAGGAAATTGGTCAGTATGCTTCCTGAAATATTGGAGCAGGGTGGCGTGGCCCGGTGGCTAGCAATTCAGCTTGCTGGCCACAAGGTTAGGGGTTCAAATCCCAGTCAAACAGTCAGTGGTGTCAGCCCTGATTTGTACGTCACTTCTACTGCCCCATGTGTAAGGTATAGGGAATCTAAAAACTTCATAGAAACTCTGAGAGCTAAGGCTGCTGGCAGGAGAGGACTCACAGTGGACAAAATGGAAGAAGAAGACCAATTACAGCCAGAGGTTGCTTCAACAACTATGCTGAGCTGTAGAACACAGGGTATCATCATCAAGTTAGGTGGTCGCACTGAAAATAAACTGAAAATGAACTTGACTGAAACTTGGAATGTTTTTATTTGTGTAGGTCAGCGGCCCCCCACAATGGCTTCACCATCGTGAACAGGTTGAGCATGAACAACCTGACAGAGCCCATCACCAAAGACCTGGAGTTCCAGCTGCAGGATCCCTTCCTGCTCTACAGAAATGCACAACGTACGTATGACAGGGCTGTACAGCTAAAGTCGTAACTTGTAATTATAAATCATGTCTGCTTCATGGGGCTTAATGGTTAGAGTGTTTTCCCAAGAATCAAGAGGTTCTGCGTTCAAACTTGTGAAAATGGTCAAGTATCTAATAAGTTGTAGCCCCAATTACATGTAGGGTACATAATATATATATACAATGTTATAAGGTGGTCATCCAGGTAAACAATATTTAAACAAAAATCAAACTCTACTGCTGGATAAATAACAGAGATAACTCCCAGACATTTCGAGTGACATCAATCACTCTTCTTCAGCATCACTAAATGAACAGTTAATTTAGTGACACCGAAGAAGAGTGACAGATGTCACTCGAAATGTATGTAAGTTATCTTCGTTATTCATCCAGCACTAGAGTTTGATTTTTCTTTGAATCATGTGGAGGTCCTGTCTTTGAGGAGATGAAACCTTACAGTTTTGGTTTTACATACTGTGCTTGGAGCCCTCATCCTTACGAGGAAGATATATTCTAAGATGCACAGCAAGTACTGACCAATGGAGGCTACAGTGAGGCATACCTATGGTACCTAATCCTTATTGTCATGAAAATTTGGTATCTTGTTTGGTAGATATTATTTGGTAACTTTAGTTTTGTAGCCTTATATTCAGAGAATCAGTAACATCATGAAGATATAGGACACTCAAGACACAGTACATTGAGCAAGGAGGTCAACTCACTTAGTGGCTCAGCGCCTACATGTTTTATTCTATTCAGCGGCCACTCTTAGTAAATAGAATTTGTTCTACATGCCTGATGTGAAGTGTGGAACACTATTTCATAACAGATATGAACACAATTTTCAAAGCCACAACATCTAGTTTGGAAGTATCAAGTTGTGTATTTACATTTTGTACAAGACAGATTAAACATAGAATGCCCTGCCCTGTACCAATACTATGACTGTGGACTATGGTATCATCTGGTTATGACTAAGACAAGTTGTAATCATTGCCAAACTGGGTCAGGCTTTTCATCCCGGAATTGCCGGGCGGGAGAAACGAGCAGCAGGAGAGATGAACTGGTGAATTGACAAATGAGTTATGCCCGGGCCGGACCCTGTCAATACAATTTGCCATCGTGTATCGATCTGCAACTACGACTTTGTGGTCCGCCATGTAATATATGATCATGAAATCATTAATATGATTAAACGCTGGGTGATATAATGTCTTGACAATACCGATCTTCCGCCTTCTTCTAATTTCCTTGAAATTCGTTTATCAGATTAAATTTGGTCAATATCAATTCCACCGTCCATGCTTCTTCTCCATGTAGATTCACCAGATCAAAGGCAATATTTTCATGACTATCACTTCTAGTATTGTGGAAGTGGAATTATCAGCATGTCTATCTTAAGATACTTGTAGTACACATAGTTTGTGTGAGTTGAATTCAGTAAGTGTAAAGCATTAGGGTTTAAGAACGGATGCTGCACTGAGTGATGATGATGTTGTGTGGGGTATAACTGACTTAGGTATCAATCCTGAAGTCAAGTACCCCGTACAAGGCCATGTGTAGGAATATAGATGTGGTACAGGATTTAATTAGGGATCTATGGATGGAAAGTGTCCAGACTCTTGCAGATACTAAGCATGTTGGTACAGTCAAAGTAGGACTGCATGGCGATGAATGAATTTGTCAGTGACTAACACATGAAATGTAAATATGCAGTATTACGATCTTCCCCAATTTCATGTGCCCACATGTGCCTACGCACACACGTAACTTTTCTCCCCAAATACATTTACAGGTCGGTTATGAATGAATGTAACTTGGTTACATAAGAGCGAGGAGAATTGCTTCCACTGGCTTGGACCCTCTCCAGGGGCCAGCCATCCTGTTGACGTCATTTCATTCAGGGTTTTGTACGATCAAATCAAGTCGTAGTGAATTCTGCGGGACCCGGCTTACTTGGTATTGATTCTACCAGAGATAGATTGGTCCTAACATGCTCCCCCGTCTGGGCCATTTGCTACCCCAGTCTGTATTCTGCAGTTCTGATTGATAAATCGAATACAGATATGTTTTTACATATTAGAATGTTTGGTCTTTTAAAATCCAGTTGGGCACAATGCAGAAATTCTGTTGTTGAAAAGTGAGACACTCACAGGTACATGTAGAAGATTGTACTGGTGTTTGTTTTTCACTATTTATTCATTCTTGCAACTGTGATATACATTACAGTCTGTATATTAGTACATTTGAGGTAGATGTGGAATCGTCTTATCTGTTTGTTTTATCAAGCGAGGATTTAAAAAAAAAAGCATGTTTTCAATGTGGAGGTGTTAGCCAGCCAAATTCACTTGCCCAGCCATATTTTTTATTTTTTGTACTACAGAAGTTAATATGTTAGTCACCTCAGGGTACAATGGTATTGTTTTTTATTGGGGGGGGGAAGGGTGCAACTTGCCAAGTGTGTGTGTGTGCATGGCTGTGCAATGGTGTGTGTTTGTGTGCCAGTGTGTGTTTTTGCACCTATGCTACATTGATTCTTTTTCAAAATGAAATATATCAAAATGTACACTTTCCAAGGGTATGACGTTGCTTTCCTGAAAACAGAGTGGGAAAATATGCAGTGACGCCCTTTTGCTTTTACTTTTTTGTCTGGTGCTGGCTACAGTATACCAAAAGTTTTTTTAAAACCATCAAATGTATTACTTATTAGTCATCTATCTCCATGTCAAAAGAAGCCCAAAAGTACCATTTTGCTAATAATAGAGACAGAAATATTGAGAAAGAAAAAGTGAAACTTACGGTCCATGGTGGGTGTCATGGAGGAGCTGTCTTTGCTCTTAGTCGAGCCGGTTGGTGTCGGCGTCTGACGTCTGGACCGGATACGCACCCTACTTCTAGAAGGCATTTTTCCTCCCAAATTAACCCTTGAGAAACTTGAAACCCGTTGACCTTGTAGTCAAACTGTTGCCCTCACTGTAAATTCTGCCATTTCTTACAACTGACAAGACCCAAGCACTTACTCTTGTTTACGTTACACTGTACTTGAGTAGACCAAATAAGGACAATGAAGTAAACTAAGTTGGTGCTATCAGCCTGGAATGCGTGCATGTTGTGTGGCTGTTTGACTAGATTTTTTCACAGGCTGATAAGATAAAAACACTTCCAGTCAAAGCTCTGAATGTTTTTATGAGCAATCTTTGAGTCCTTGACATTAAGTAAAGCTTAAATAGTGTACACATACTCATAATTATTTGTTATGCACACCTGCTGATTCAATACAGATCAGGCTCCAGATACAGTCTCAGAAGTGCTAAAGAGAAAAGATTTTTCCTACAAGTCGATGATTACATGTTGAACTTAAACGTGATAAACATTCTGTTTTTCTGAAAGGAAATGGGTTTTCCTGTTGACTGTTATGTTATGTTACATTGTATATTAGTTTCCTTCCTGTGTATGCAGAAGAAAGTAATAATGTTTTGTCAAAGCCATAACACTTCATGGTTCCAACTTAGTGTGGCCTTTGCCATTTCCTGGATATGCCTTTCTTTAAGGTCAATATCCCTGTATACATGTAGGTATGTGACATTACACTAGGTATCATCCTACCATGAATGCTAACAAACTGTGACATGACTTACAAAGTTAGCTAAACTAAACAGAATTGCACCCAGGCTTGTGAAAGATACCATGGTCATCACAGTACAGCAATGCAGGTGGTACTTGAGTTATGCAAGGTCCCAAAAGTACAGCCTACTTCCCTGTCTTTACAGACCAAATCTATGGCATCTGGTTCTATGACAAGGATGAGTGTGCCAGAGTTGGCCAGCACATGAACAGGTAAGACAGTAGTTTATTATGCAAGTCCTCTTTGTAATGACATCTTATAAACATTTTTCTACCCCTAGAGCTAACTGATGTATACAGTCTTTAATTTAAAAGCTTCCTGTAATGAATCAGAATGGGATGCCATTTCCTCAGTACAGCTAAAGAAGACAGACTTCATTTTGTCACATGTTCAGCCCCATGCAGTTTGCAGATAGTCATGTCAATTTGATTTTTTGGTCTTCTGATTGAAAGATATTAATTTCTACACTCGAAAATCAACAAGAAAGTCTAAGGGGAATTGAAAGTCTGTACCTCCAAGTTGGAACAAAACAAACTAGTTGATGCTGCCTGAAAACTTTTTTCCAAGTTGAAGATTGATAACTTTTCACCATGAAGCCAGTTTTGTAGGATAGTATAACCCAGATCAAGTCATGATGCTGAAGTTTTTGACTGATGCCCCGCTCCTGATGTTCCCAGCCTGACCCAGTGGGCTGCGAGCAGTGCCACCAGCGAACACTCGCCGCGCCGGCAGCGCAGAGCGTCCCTGGACGGAGCCACTCCCGTGGAAGGGTCAGCGACAGTCGCTGCCGGCAAGAGGGAGGTGGACATACTGCAGATGCTGTCTAAAGCACAGGATGAGTATGATAAGGTACCCAACAAGAATTCTTAATTATGATGTTGGCAATTTGTATTGATATTAATAGTTTTCATTTGAAAAAGTGTCTTCATATTGGGTGTTGTTGAATGTAAGGGTACTGGTAATGATTTTTAAAACTTTAATTTAGTTTTAGCTTGTAACTTGAGATTACTGTATGTTTTGCTTCAAAAGTTAGGACTGTTGAATGTAAGGTTTCATGTGTTGGTTGTCTGACTTCTATTAAAGTATGACACTGGACATGATTGTTGCAGCAACCAGACAGTACAGATGCTGGCACTACAGAAAAAAGAGTGGACATTTTACAGTTGCTGTCCAAAGCACAAGGTGATTACCACAAGGTATGTATATAAGTTTATCATTGAAATAAAGCTCTTGAACAATTAAGTTTGTCAACACCTGGACTGAAGGACTTTTCTGTTTTTTGGCACATCTTGTGAAGAAAGGAAGATTTTTCCACGTCATTTGGCATTATTCTGAATGGTTCTTTTTCTCCATAGTCAAAACAGACAAGTGGAGCAGAGCCAAAACCTATGATTGACAACTTGACATCAAGAGCAGAGGGTGGAACAGGCGGCCTCGTCAGACCTGTAGCTCTCAAACCTGAACCTGCAGCCAGTCAAGCACAGGTATGGTGGATCAAAAGAGCCACCTAGTGGTTAGGATAGGAAGTGCAGCAGTAAGTAGGCAGCAAAGGTGCTATAAATGATTACAAAGAAATCTATACTACATTGTTTCTGCCCCACCCTCTTCACAGCCCAGACCTATAAATGGGTATACACTTACAGACATTTCATACAGCTTCAAATGAGCTACCAACCTGGTGAAGCTACTCACAGAGAGGCCCTGACATTGTTTCTACCCCTCCCATTCCAGCCTTCCAAGAAAACTGTAAACCTGCATGGCTGTATAACTAGCTTGTTGACCAGTACCCTGTGCAGGTGTCAGAACACTACCCAGCAGCTGTGACAGGGCAGCAGCCACTTCATGAAGCCCTGACTTTATTTCTTCCTCTCCCCTCCAGGTCCCGACCTCCCACCCCAGACCGGTGAACCTGGCCACCCTGTTTAACCAGCCTGTTGACCAGCACCCTGTGCAGGTGTCAGAACACCACCCCGCGGCCGTGCCAGGCCAGCAGCACGACACAGCGGGGAAGATGCCCGTCCTGCTGCAGAGACTCATGTCCAACCCCGGGATCGGGGAGCGCGTCACCACGCTGGAGAGTCTGGAGGCGGACCAGCTGGGTCCCCGCGGCGCTGAGGCAGGAGCGGCGGGGGAGGGGAGCCACAGTTCCAGCCGGATCAGCTGGTGGAGCAACTCAACATGCTGAAGATGAAGCAGCAGGAGCAGGTCTGCATTTTATTTTCATTTTTCATTTCTCTTTTTTTTAACAAGGTGTGCTTTATTCAGTGTCTAGTCACTGTTGTCAGGGACCCCCTGTAAGGACATTACAGTAATACAATGTACAAGTCATGTACATGTGCAGGAAAAATCAAGTTAAAAACAAACAAACAATCAAAGAAGTATACTATACATGAACGTACATATACGTACTGGACATAGTGTACAGTACGTATAGGTAGACTTGCCCCATGTTCTCTGTGCAGGTGAGTGAGGAGGTACATGTAGGTGACCCCACATCTCCAGGGACAAACCTGTTAAAGATGCTGCAGGCCAGCCCAGCAGGGGCCGCAGGCTTCACTGGGACAACCACCACAACCGACAGTCGCAACTTGTTACTGAAGAACTTACAGGTTAGTCATCTTTTTTTCGTTTGCAGTCCTCTGCATTTTGGTGAGGTTGTACTTTCCTTTATCAATGTTGATTTGCCATTTTTACAAACAATTTCTATATCAGATTCTAGCAAACAGGATTGTATATGTGTTAAATGCAGGCCATGGCCCCCCAGCCCAGCAGTTTACTCACACCCCAGGCTTTTGAGGCTGCAGCAGCTGCTAGTGCACAGCTACCTCAGGCTGGTGAGTACAGTATAATGTGGTACCGGGCTCAACATACTTTCTTCTACATACCTGCACTGGTGCAGGCTAAATCACGTGCTCCAGATGCCACAGATTTGGGGTGTCTCTTAATGTCAGCGTTTTTGAGAGTATCTGTTGCATGCGACCTCAAAGCGTCCTTTGGTAGTTATGTTACAATGTGGAGCATTTTTCTTCGTATGTACTTAAGTATTTCAAAAATATTGCTGGGAAGTACATGAAATCTCTCAACATAATTGATATCACCTGCAGAAGAATAACTTTTTTAAATTTTCAAAGAGTGAGTACTAGTAAATCTGGTTCTGAGACACATTCCTGTATCCATGATTTCTGATATCCTAACTTGCCTGTCCCCAGGCCCGCGACGAACACGCATGTCCTCCACATCCTCAGCTGCTTCCCTGGACACGGCTGCTTCACAGTTCAAACTCCATCCTCTGTCTAAAGAACAGCTGAAACAAGGGCTACTGTACCTTATAGAGGTGAGGCACTTTATGTAAGAATGTAGAATCTGACTGACTTAGTAAGACAGGATTGTAAAGATTTATTTTGTAGTTCTAGTTTGTAATTTGTAGTTAAGACGGCCTAAATGAAAGTCACTTTACTTTTTGTTGCATCAATAGAGCTTAATCTTTTAACCTTTAGTTCTCCAATGAATAGTATTTAATGTTCTGTTACTTAAGGGTAGAGGAAGGTAATTCCCAAAGTTCCCCAAAGTCTGAGGTTACTAATAAATCTCTGCTTCATTTCAGAATGATGACGACTTTGTGGACAAGATCCACGATGGATATCTGCAGAGTTTAAAGTCCCGGAGAGACAGTAACCTGTGATGGTGTAACAGTAGTTATAGTGAAGGCAACATGTCAGTATTGTCCATGCAACCCGTAAAGGAAAACAAGCAAACAGTATGCTAAACCACAGTCTTATGTAACTCTTACATGTAACTAGAAGCACAGTGATACACAATGACATAGAGGCAGAAGGGTGTTGCTCAAACTATCATTTTCCAAAAGTCAGATAAAACAGAAAACATATGAATGTGCAGTTCTGTCAACAGCTAGTAGCTAAAAAAACAATGTTTTGTTTTGTCTGATATCTTAGTTATTATATTGTCAAGAAGTTTGACAATGTTCTGTTTAAAGATGCATCACCAGTAGCTTGTGAAGCATAAAATCCCTCTTTTCAGACCATGAAAGCCTCCCTGGTCCTGTAAGGCCCATACATGTACGTCTAATGTATAACCCAGTAACAGTGTAAACAATCTTAGAACTTGCTTTCTACACTGTACTTACTCCTTCAGAGAAAAGCACAATAAGAAGACATGACACAAAGAGGACATGGAAGGAACACAAGAAAATTCAGTCTTTGAGTTTCCAATATCTTATCCAGGCACTTTTGTTTTGGTTCAGGGCATGCACTAAAAGAAATGGGCTAACAGAGCAGATATAAACAGAAGTCTATTAACTTGGATAGCCTCCAGGCAAACCTACACGAATGTACATGTACAAGGGGAAAACCAGTGCAACTGTAAATTATGTAGCCAAAAATAGTCTGATGTAAAGACAACATGTATCAGGATTTCACCATCAGTCACAAAGATGTGTGTATAAATTTGCTTATCTTAACATTCCCTTTCTGAACTGTGCACAGCATATCTAGCCTAACTAAAGGCTGATACAGTCTCTGGCACTCACTGCTGCTTTCTTACGTGTTTGTCATTGCAGATAGTGCTGGTTCCCAGACACAAATGGCCAAGAAATGTCAATGTTGCTTCCTCTAAGCTGGTGTCACACTGCCAGCGACCTTTGGCCAAGTTTGCCGGTTGCCAAATTTCAAAATGAAGCATATTTTTCAGTTTAAAATCTACCCTATGTATGATGATGATGAAAATCTACCCTATAAAAATTGGATGGGGCCCAGTGGTCTGCGAACATCGGCCAATCCCTATGAATCGGACAGCGATCAAGAGGACACTGTCTGTACAAAATGTATTTCAGCCCAAATGTCCTTTTGAGCTCAAACTCGTCAGGCAAGCTGTTTTCCTGTTGTGTAATGCCAGCTTTACTGAGACAAGAAGAACAGAAATCATGACATAATACTCCTGTTTGCAAGAAATTCTATCAGTCTTAATTTAATGTTTTGTGTTTCTAAACCAATACAATATGGAAGACAACAAGTTTGGCAAATGATGTTCATTTTAGCTATGATTTGCTGATTTTCAAATCCATTTTGATCACTGACAAAACATGTTTCTTACATGTAACCAAGTGGTTGTTTTAGAATGAAATTGCCTTTAAAGCTTTGGATACTTCAGCAAGCTGTTATGTTCAACAATGTTTTTGTTGTATATGTATTTTTATAATAAAATATGAAGAAAGAAACGTGTTGACGTAAGGTTTGAAAAGCTGGAAACAGGTGTCAGTTGTTGACTGTTTTTATTTATGACATTCTGTGGTGAATATACTGGTCTGGCAACATGTGAATCAACCACCATTGAGAAATCATCTGTAACTAGGCCACACCAATTTAATTCTTGGTGATCAGATTTTCAGAAAAATAATAGGAATATCAGCACACACACAAAAAAAAATTGTGAATGTAGTCCAGGCCCAGTCAGTTTATCACCGAAAACCTCAGATTTCATGGTGACGTTTTACTGAAACTTCAGTTAGAAATAAATGTCTGACAACCATGGAAATGCGTTGGTGTGGCCTGAGCCTCCCCCAGCAGTTTACTAGCGCCACTTATCCTTTGGCACAGTTCAAGTTGGGTGCTACAATCAGGTGAAATTTCGTTAGAGGGTGCAATCCCTACTGCTAAGTACTGTTAGCTGCTCGGACAGGCAGAACCTGTATGTAAATAAACATGAACCAAACGTTCCACCTGTGAAATGGTCTTCTTGTTCATGACTGGGCGATTTTTTAGCACGTGAACCAGGTCTTTGGTACCCCTATTCTTTCATTTTGAAGCTTCACAGGATTTAAGACATGCGGAGATAATAGACACACTTAGTCTAGTAAGTAGTGATTCTTTTAAGTCCTATAAAACGTTCAGGAGAGTTCCTGACGCCCGCGGGCAATTGATTAAATCTTCCCCTCAAAGCTTTCTACACTTGTGTCCAAAGCTCTTAACACCGAACACTACAACCCCAAATCTGACTTGCAAAAGAGAACAACCATTGTTAGTCAGTAAAAGCCCCCTGGGGAAAATATTTGGGGTATATCCAAAAAATAAATCTCACATGACTTGGCACAAAGGGCCAGACATCTTGTTCCTGTTTTAGATTCACATGAAACTTCCGGGTCAGCAGTTCCCTTTCAGTCCCGTCGTGGCTGCCCGTTTTAGGCGAACCTGACACCAGGTATGTTGATCTTCTATGTTCGCTTGTCATGCGTGTCATTCTTCTGAAAAGTGCTCAGTTTACATATTGATCGTTCAACTTGACCTTTTTTTACGTATTTGTTAAGACCTGGACCTGCGGAATTTGTTCATAATCTCTTAATGGTGTGGTGTACACGTATCCTGGTTATGCTGTGATATTTCCGCGTATAGTAGGTCAAAAACTTAGACGTATGTTTTTGTATGGACTTTTCAAATGTGCTATTGTCCTGGGAATTTCACCGTGTATGACAGCATGTTGTTCGTTTTAGGCCAGGGCACCGTACGTAAGCAGCACGTGTAAGTACGGCCTGCATACGGTAAAGTGGCAATCGCACGGAGACCGTACATTGTAGTAGTATAGGCACGTACAACTCACTACGTGCGCAACGAACGATGCACGCAACCGCTCACGGCCAGACATGGCGTGCAGACCACATACGTACAAAAAACAGCGCATATAATCCCAACCCGTAATCCTGCAGCTGCTGATATTGACTGCTATATGGTTAGTCCAAGATAGAGGTCAAAGTAACGAAATCAAATAGTATGTAACCAATTTTAGGATCTGACTGTGGACATCTCGTTTTATGTCGAGATAAATATTGACCTATCAGTTCCCCTTAAAGGGACCTATTAAAGGCAATTCCAGCCACACAACAGTCCGGGAATACCAGTATTCTGGATGAGGAACTCTGTATGACTTTATTTACTGCCAGTTCTTGGCATATTTTCGTCATCATTTCGTACGTGAAGCGTTTGAAAGAATAATAGCCCCAAAACAACCTACGTCAGAGGTCCCTTTATTTTTGTTACTAACAATGAATAGATAGATCCAGCCTACGATATAAAACGAAACAAGAAAACGTTTTCCGTCAGCGACATTGCATTTTTCCCTACATTACTTCCCGTCTTCGACACAAATATACGACTTCTTGTATTCCCTCAGCAACATGACATGCTCAAACTTTGTACGTGTACAGATCTCCGGTCCGTCATGGGGAAGGTACTGGGGAAGTCCCGCGGCGAAGACATAACATCCACCACCGACGACACGCCCGTCCCCGGTAGCGTGTATGTGGATGAGGACAAAATGAAGGTTACCTTCAAAATGTACCAGTACGGCAGGACTCACGGCAAACTTCCCATCAATAGGGGAAAGGTGAGAAACAATGTTGCTACATGTACTTTCGGGTACGGAAAAAAGTACTGTTTTGAGTGGCTGAGCTGTGGTTTGTGAATCTGTTTATCCGGATAGAGTAGGTCGACAGTACATTGGTGGAGGAATATTGGCAGGCAAAATGACAAGTGGAAAGGCCCGACACAGGAAATGGTCAGATGAGTAAGGCTAGTTAGCCAGTCCTACTTTGAGACGGTTGGTACTTTGAAAAACAACATTATTCGCGGTCATCATCTGGGTTTACGCAAGATAGTATACAGGCATGGCCTGGCAGTGTTAGAACGTGAGAGGTCATCATGTCGGTCATGAATTATGTGTGTTAAGGTCTGATCACAACCCGCCGTACGTGCATCTGCTTGCTGTCTACGTGCAAAAACGTGGGCAAACGTAGGGCATCCGTGCGTGGTGAGTACCGCCTTCGTACGGAATCCTATGGATTTGGGAGCACGCATACACGCCGTAGAACTTATGTAAAACTTTTTCTGCGTGCGGTCTGCAGATTCACCACCCGTGCGTGCGAGTACGAGCGACGCGCGTGCCCCGTAACCGTACGGAAGAAGCACGTGTGAGTATGGCCTCCTTACGGTAGAGTTGCAATCGCACAGAGAACGTACAACTCACCACTTGCGCAACGAACGATGCACGCAACCGCTCACGGCCAGACGTGGCGTGCAGACCACACTCTTACACCTTGCGCAACCGTGCGAGTGACGTGCGTAGAAGCCACTCCTTCCCCACGTCTTCAGAAAAAACGTAGCAGACGTAGCCTTCCAAAAAACATACGGACAAAAAGCACGTACGGCGGGTTGTGACCAGGGCTTAACAGTGGCACTTACCGACATACACAAAGTTGTACATTTTAGCTCAGCATCAGTCACGTATCAGCAAAACTTTTTATTAAATATTACTTACACTTAAAACAAGCTTGCCATAGAATTGTGCTTTGATTTATAACTATGTTTCTGAAACAGGTGCTGTTCCTTGGAGATGCCCGGCAAGGTAAGACGAGTCTGAAGAAACGTCTTACAGGAGAACCTTTCAACCCCAACCAGGAGAAAACCGAGGGCATTCAAGCCAAGATGGTGGAAACCAAGGACATCGACCATCACTGGCGCAGCCCAGACCAGCGCTTTGAGTCTGAGTACGAGAGGAGGGCGGCTTGGTACACAGCCAACATGGCTGCAGAGGGAAACCAACGCAGGGGAACGAATGGAAATATGTCTTTGGCCGTCGCGCTTGACGTTCTTTTCTTCTGCCTTCTTCCGTTGGCTGACTTCATCGCCCTCTTTTTGATGGTTAATGTAGGGTATGCTTATTCTGTGATTGCCCTTATTGCTTTCATGGCATGTGTGACTGATCTGACGACAGCGACTAGAACGGGAACAGGTATGGCGGTGGCACTTGCTTTTAGAAGTTCTCTAATTCCACCACTCACGCTGAAAACCGCGTCACAGGAGCTTGTAAATGTTGTTGGACCGAGAGCGTGTTACCCTGTCCTTGGCTTGTGCATTGTAATATGTGCTTCTGCTGGTACGATTCTCTTGGGCTTTGGTCTTCGACCCATTATGGGTATCGTTCTCTGTCTGATGTGTTCTCCTACACAGGTGTCGGATGTTGGTGCATTATCCTGGTCTTGGTTTGTGTCGGAACTAGAAACTGATATTGACATGGTTACTTCAAACGCTCTGTTTACCGTGGGTCTTTCGGCAGGCATCATCACATATCAGTACTGGGGTTTCCTTTCTAGCCGACTTCCTATCCGCCTTCGGTTCTCTGGTCAGACCTGTCTGTCACTTTTCGTTGCCAGCATTTCTCTGAGTAGTTCCAGCTCTATCTCGGAACCAGTCCTCATGCTGTACTGCGGTTTTTGCACAGCTTTTGGAGCCTGTCACGGGTTGGTAACAGGTCGTGTTTGGTCTGCCATGGTGCCGGTCCGTTATCTTTACTTAAAATGCTGCGGTGAAGTCCTTGGTGGCGTGCTTCTATCTCTGGGCTTCGGTCGCGCCGTTGGGTGGCAGCTGGCAACCGTGGACAGCATTTCCTACTTTGCTGTCTTTACTGCGATGGTATTGCTGCTTATAGAATGTTACCAATACTACCAGTACTATCTGAGCATCCCCGTTACACTGATCGACGAGTCCATGCGTGAGAAGGAAAATGGGGCGAAGTCGTTCCCGACTAACCTGACGCTGATGGACTTCGCAGGTGATGAAGAATACTACAGCATGCACCACATCTTCCTGGCCCACGAGGCAGTGTACTTGCTTGTGTTCAGTATGACTGAAGCTGTCCGAAATCAGAACAGAACGCTAGACCGCCTGCTGTTCTGGCTCCATTCCGTGAGGACACACGCCAGTAGCGAGGACTGTGCGGTGTTCCTCGTAGGAACACACCGAGACAGCGTGACTTCCCTCCAAAGACAAGAGATCGCCACGTTTCTTGCCGAGCACCTGTACGATTCGACTGGATTTTCGTCACTGCTTGTTCTAAATGCTGACCACACCCCCTTGTTTCCTGTCGAGAACTCGAAGCCTGTCGATGAAGACATGATCTGCCTGCGCGACGCCATTTGGACCATGACCCAACAGGCCAACTACGCACGGAGACAACTTCCCATCAGATGGCTCAAGTTCTTGGAAGTCGTCAAGCAGATCGAAAAACCCATCGTGTCCTTGGACGACCTACGGCAGGAGTGTTCTCACATCGGTCTAGAAGATGAAGACGAATTCCACGACATTCTGACGACTTTCGACCAAGCGGGCGACATCATCTACCAAGCAAACGATGAAACCTTGAGGCGCTACGTTGTGCTGGACCCACAGCTTCTTGTTGATGCCATGGCCAAGATAACCTGCCCACAGCCGACTCACTTTGGCATGCCCAAATATGTCGAACATTCCACTCTGCTCGAAAAGAAGGGGATCGTTCGCGCTGACTTCATCCACAATGCGGTTGCCCAACTCAACATAGACCAGCCCTCAATACTGCTGAAGCTGCTTGTGGCGTACGACATGTTGTGTCCCTTGGGAGAGGACACCAGCGGCGACCCTGGGCACACAACATACCTGGTTCCCAGCAGGCTACCAGAATACAATCCCAAACTGCATCGTCGCCTCTCGGAACGCCACGACGATGATCAAGTCTTTTACATCGACTTTGAGACGTTCAAGCCCGACGTCGTGTACACTAGAGTTGTAGCAAGGTGTCTCGCTCTGTGTAAAGTAGAGGAGAGAACGCACACGCGAACCCACGTCTTCCGAAACGTGGGGTGTTTCAACATGGACAGCCGCTTCTGGTTCACCGTGGAGTCGCTGAGACCAGCTCCCGACCAAAACGTCCTCAAGATAACCGTGACGTCAGCGACAGGCAGCAACCCCTTCGACCTGCTCGGGACGCTTCACAACATCCTGGAGGCCATCCGGCGCCGGGATTTCCCCAACATGTCCTACACCAGTGGAGTCTGCTGTCCTTTCGAGGCGCCACACTCGGAATACTCGGAGCCAGAGAGAATCCACGTGCTTAAGTTAGCGGGAAGCGGAGAGACGTTCCCGAAGGAAAGCCATCCCCTGATGTTCCTGTGCTGCGGTCGGGAGCACCAGGTCGTGCGCTCAATCGTAGGGGCGCTGGCACAGAGAAACGGGGCGTTGAGTACAGCAGGTACGTACTGTGTCCCGTTCCGCTTGATTTGTAACACAGCCACGTGCACGTTGGCCGTCATAGGGGAACTTTGCATTTTTAGCATAGTTTCAAGACTGATTGTATTTACCGAAAGCTACAACGTTTGTCCTGTATAATTCATATCTTTATATTTGCTACATCGATCATCCAGGGATCCGCCAACCCCGTCCTGAGACCCCGCTGCAGTTCTGCCACATCCAGCAGCTCTCCCTCCTGCTGGACCCCCGCGGGTCCTCGGGAACGACTGGCAGGGGCTCGCCGACCACCTGGGCTACGGCGTGACGGAGATCCTCAACTTCCGACGGAAGGAAAGCCCAACGATGGCGCTTCTCCTCGACTATGGAACCAAGGTAAGACTGCACAGTCTATATGTTTTAGTAAACGTCACCACAAAGCAAGCATCGAAACCTGGAGCTAACGGTTACTTACCTGTGATTGACATCTGGTGAGATAGATGGGATAAAATGGGTGAAATAATGAATATCTTCCGTAAATTTGGTTATGTCCATTGAAGGCACTTGGTTATGTTCAGACATCTCCCAGTTCTTGTATCGGAGTGTAACCATGGCATTGGGATGTTTGCTCGACATCTTCCCGTTTTGGATCCGACTAATGACGTAACGACTTCCCTGTGCCGACACTAGGTGGATAAAGTGGAAGCTGCGAGAACTATCATGGAAGGTCTGGAGCTGCTGGGTCGTCTGGACGCTGTCGCCGTGATGACCGCACACGTCAATAGAAGCCAGAGCCACGATGGAGACGAATAACAAGACTACATTTAAGACATTTTGAAGGAAACATAGGATGTCACATACAAAAGGGAAAACCAGTGAAACTGTAAATGATGTAGCCAAAATAATCTGATATACATGTAAAGACAACATATATCAGGGTTTAACCGTCAGTCACAATGATGTGTGTATACATTTGCTTATCTTAACATTCCCTTTCTGAACTGTGCGCAGCATATCTAACCTAACTAAAGACTGATACAGTCTCTGGCACTCCCGCTGCTTCCTTACGTGTTTGTCATTGCAAAAATGGCCAAGAAATGTCGATGTTGCTTCCTTTAAGCTGGTGTCACACTGTCAGCAACCTTTGAATATTTAAAAAAATGTGAATATAGTCAGGCCCAGTCAGGTTATCCCCGAAAATCTCAGATTTCATGATAACTGTTTGCTGAAACTTCAGTTTGAAATGTCTGAGATCCATGGGAATGCGTCGGTGTGGCCTAAGTCTCCCTAATAGTTTACTAGCGTCACCTATCCCTCCCGACAGTTCTAGTTGGGTGGTACAATCTGGTGAAATTTCGTCAGAGGGCGCAATTCCAACTGCTAAGTATTGTTAGCTGCTAGGACAGGAAGAACCTGTATGTAAATAAACATGAATTTTAGCTATGAAATGGTCTTTTTCCTCTTCATTACTAGAGAGATTAAAAAGGGCCGTTTTCTGAAAGAGAACGATCCATTGTTTTAACAGCCCCCGGGGAAAATATTTCGAGTATGTCGTAATGTAGTGAAATTCACGTGATTTGGCACATAGGGCCGGACATCTTGTTCCTCTTTCAGAGTCATAACAAACTTCCGGACAAGCAGTCTCCTTTGAGTCTCGCCGTGACTGCCCGCTTCAGTCCCACCTGACACCAGGTATGTTGATCTTCTAGGTTCACTTGTTAGGTGTGTCTTTGTTCTGAAAAGTGTTCAGTTTGCGTATTTCTCAATTTAACGCTTGGATGGTATGTATTTGTTAAGACCTGGACCTGCGGAAGTTGTTCATAATGAGCTTTTGATGGTGTGTAGTGCACTTGTATCCTGGTGATACATGTGATATTTTTTCGCATATTTTAGGTAAAAAACTTTGACGTATGTTCTTGTCTGAACTTTTCAAATGTGAGATTGTTCTGGGAAATTAACCGTGTATGACAGCATGTTGTTCACTTTCGTCGTGGACCTGGGCATAGTGATAGTGTTAACGTAGGAATTGGCACCTGAGGTACTCATTATAAGCACTGAAACCTGTGATGTGTCAGCGTCCTTGAACTTTTATTTGCTTATCAACCTAACATATCGGTTTTGATTGTACCGAGACCACACTTCCCAAACCGGTTAAAATCAAAATTGGTATACAAAAAAATACACAAAAAAAGAAAAACAGCGCATATAATCCCAACCCGAAATCCTGCTGATATTGTCTGCTATGGTTAGTCAGAGTAACGAAATCAAATAATATATAACCAATTTTAGAATCTGAATGTGGACATCTCGTTTTGTGTCGTGATAGATATTAACATATTAGTCCTTAGAGCCACCAAAAGCAATCCAATTTGAGTTGGAGAATAATTTAAGTTTTTCATAAAAGCAATCCAAGTCTGACAAAAACAAGAAATACCAGTACTCTGGATGAGAAAATCTGTCTGACATTACTTATTTACTGACATTTCGTCATCATTTCATACTTGAAGCTTTTAAGATAATGCAAATACTAGTGAACATCATTGTCATTGTTTATACTGGCTGCGATGGTGGCAGTGGAATGCACACCTGGCACGGACATTTGTTTACTGGTAAACCCAGATGAAGTCACGCATGCACTTCCTTTACTCATTTAAAGGGGAGTCCTAATAAACACACTACTAGTATTTGATCCTTCTTCTCTGATGTTTCCACAACAAGAACCGCGCTGTCCTTCTGCATTTGAAATTACACAAAAGTGGAAGACATGCATCGATAGTGGCACACTGACCAAAATTATGAACCATGCAATATACTCACTTATACAATACCACAATAAGAGGCAAATTGTAACCAAGAGTAAAGACACTGATACCACTGATACCACCGCCACTGCCAAGTATTGTTTCAACCGTGAACTTTGAACACCGCAAAAATATCATTTCCTTTCCTAACGCGAAATTTATCCCCAGCGAACATAAATGAAGTAGATAGAACTAGCCTACGATTCGAAAAAAAACATTTTCCGTCTGGGACTATTTTTCCTCACCGATATCAATATGCTATGGGATAGGGTTGATTCAACCTACTACTTAAAAAGATATGGCCGGAAAACTGACTGAAAAAAAATCTGTTTTACCGCCCTAAAATCCCTCTGGGTGCCTTTTGGGACTTTTCTGTACGTGCTAAGCTAAGTCTCTAACATTATGGCTACAAATGTACACCAGAGTAACGGTAAACCGCCTCAATTCTAGATTTGAAATATGATGTATTACTTCCCGTCTATGACACAAATATACGAATTGTTGCACCACCTCTTTTCTTCAGCTCAGTAACATGCTCGAACTCTACAGGTGTACAAATCTAGATCTCCGGTCTGTCATGGGGAAGGTACTGGGGAAGTCCCGCGGCGCAGACAGGACGTCCTCCGCCGAAGGCACGCCCGTCCCCGGTAGCGTGTATGTCGATGACGACAAGATGAAGGCTACCTTCAAAATGTACCAGTACGGCAGGACTCACGGGAAGCTTCCCATCAACAGGGGAAAGGTGAGAAGCAATATGGCCTCTTCCGCGATACGGAAGTACTGTTTGTGTATCTGTTCGTAGGTCGACAGTACGTCGGTTGGGGAATACTGGCAGGCACAAGTCACACGTAAAACCAGTTTTAAAGCCATTCCTAATTTGAGACGGTTGTCGTCTGGGGTATGGGTTTACAGGCATGGCCTGGCTGTGCTAGAATGGTTTTAGAATCATGAATTATGTGTGTCCGTGGCACTTGCCGGCAAAGTTGTACCTTTAAGCTCAGCATCAGCCAAGTATCAGCAAAACTTTTTTACAAGATACAATGTATTACTTACTGTCAGTCAGTTTCTAAAGACCATTACATTGCTGCGCAAAACAAACAAACAAACAAACAAACAAACAAACAAACAAACAAACAGGAGGGCACCAGGTCTCAAAATACAAAGATATACAACATACAAGATATTACCTGTAGTTAAAACAAATGGTAAATTTGTCTGGGTGTAGAGCTTGCCATAGAATTGCGCTTTGCTTTTTATTTTTAAAACAGGTGCTGTTCCTTGGAGATGCCCGGCAAGGTAAGACGAGTCTGAACAAACGTCTTACAGGAGAACCTTTCAACCCCAACCAGGAGAAAACCGAGGGCATTCAAGCCAAGATGGTGGAAACCAAGGACATCGACCATCACTGGCGCAGCCCAGACCAGCGCTTTGAGTCTGAGTACGAGAGGAGGGCGGCTTGGTACACAGCCAACATGGCTGCAGGGCAAAATCAGACCAGAGAAGCGGACAAAAAGATGCCTTCGCCTTTGGCCGTCGCGCTTGACGTTCTTTTCTTCTGCTTCCTCCCATTGGCTGAATTCTTTGCCCTCTTTTTGATGGTTAATCTAGGGTATGCTTATTGTGTAGCTGCTCTTATTGCTTTCATGGCATGTGTGACTGATCTGATGTCAGCAACTAGAACGGGAACAGGAATGGCGGTGGCACTTGCGTTTAGAAGTTCCCTAATCCCACCACTCACCTTGACAACCGCGTTACAGGATCTTGTTAGTGTTGTTGGACCGAGAGCGTGTCTCCTTTTAGTTAGTTTGGGCACTGGTTTTGTTGCCACGATTCCCTTGGGCTTTGGTTTTCGACCCATGATGAGTATCGTTCTCTGTCTGATGTGTTCTCCTACACAGGTGTCGGATGTTGGCGCATTGTCCTGGTCTTGGTTTGTGTCGAAACTAGGAACCGATATTGACATGGTTACTTCAAACGCTCTGTTTACCGTGGGTCTTTCGGCAGGCATCATCACATATCAGTACTGGGGTTTCCTTTCTCGCCGACTTCCTATTCGCCTTCGGTTCTCTGGTCAAACCTGTCTGTCTCTTTTTGTTGCCAGCATTTCCCTGTGTAGTTCCAGCTCTGCCACGGAACCAGCCCTTATGCTGTATTGCGGCTTTTGCGCAGCTTTTGGAGTCTGCCACGGGCTGGTAACAGGTCGTGTTTGGGCTGCCATGGTGCCGGTCCGTTATCTTTACCTAAAGTGCTGCGGTGAAGTCCTTGGCGGCGCGCTTCTATCTCTGGGCTTCGGTCACGTCGTTGGATGGCAGCTGGCAACCGTGGACAGCATTTCCTACTTTGCTGCTTTTACTGCGATGGTATTACTGCTTATAGAATCCTACCGATACTACCAGTACTATCTGAGCATCCCCGTTACACTGATCGACGAGTCCATACGTGAGAAGGAAAAGGGGGCGCAGTCGTTCCCGACTAACCTGACGTTGATGGACTTCGCAGGTGACGAAGAATACTACAGCATGCACCACATATTCCTGGCCCACGAGGCAGTGTACTTGCTTGTGTTCAGTATGGCTGAAGCTGTCCGAAATCAGAACAGAACGCTAGACCGCCTGTTGTTCTGGCTCCATTCCGTGAGGACACACGCCAGTAGCGAGGACTGTGCGGTGTTCCTCGTAGGAACACACCGAGACAGCGTGACTTCCCTCCAAAGACAAGAGATCGCCACGTTTCTTGCCGAGCACCTGTACAATTCAACAGGATTTTCGTCACTGCTTGTTCTAAATGCTGACCACACCCCCTTGTTTCCTGTCGAGAACTCGAAGCCTGTCGATGAAGACATGATCTGCCTGCGCGACGCCATTTGGACCATGACCCAACAGGCCAACTACGCACGGAGACAACTTCCCATCAGATGGCTCAAGTTCTTGGAAGTCGTCAAGCAGATCGAAAAACCCATCGTGTCCTTGGACGACCTACGGCAAGAGTGTTCTCACATCGGTCTAGAAGACGAAGACGAATTCCATGACGTTTTGACGACTTTCGATCAAGCGGGCGACATCATCTACCAAGCAAACGATGAAACCTTGAGGCGCTACGTTGTTCTGGACCCACAGCTTCTTGTTGATGCCATGGCCAAGATAACCTGCCCACAACCGACTCACTTTGGCATGCCCAAATATGTCGAACATTCCACTCTGCTCGATAAGAAGGGGATCGTTCGCGCTGACTTCATCCACAATGCGGTTGCCCAACTCAACATAGACCAGCCTTCCATACTGCTGAAGCTGCTTGTGGCGTACGACATGTTGTGTCCCTTGGGAGAGGACACCAGCGGCGAGCCTGGGAACACGACATACCTGGTACCTAGCAGGCTACCAGAATACAATCCCAAACTGCATCGTCGCCTCTCGGAACGCCACGACGATGATCAAACCTTTTACATCGACTTTGAGACGTTCAAGCCCGACGTTGTGTACACTAGAGTTGTAGCAAGGTGTCTCGCTCTGTGTAAAGTAGAGGAGAGAACGCACACGCGAACCCACGTCTTTCGAAACGTTGGGTGTTTCAACATGGACAACCGCTTCTGGTTCACCGTGGAGTCGCTGAGAGCAGCTTCCGACCAAAACGTCCTCAAGATAACCGTGACGTCAGCGACAGGCAGCAACCCGTTCGACCTGCTCGGGACGCTGCACAACATCCTGGAGGCCATCCGGCGCCGAGATTTCCCCAACATGTCCTACACCAGTGGAGTCTGCTGTCCTTTCGAGGCGCCACACTCGGAATACTCGGAGCCAGAGAGAATCCACGTGCTCAAGTTAGCGGGAAGCGGAGAGACGTTCCCGAAGGAAAGCCATCCCCTGATGTTCCTGTGCTGCGGTCGGGAGCACCAGGTCGTGCGCTCAACCTTAGGGACGCTGGCACAGAGAAATGGGGTGCTGAGGACAGCAGGTACGTACTGTGTCCCGTTCCATTTGCTTTGTAACACACGTTGGCCGTCATAGGAGAACTTTTGCATTTTTAGCATATTTTCGAGACTGATTGTATCTACTGAAAGCTACAACGTCTGCTGTATAATTTCTATCTTTATCTTTGTTATATCTTTCCCCTAGGGAGCCGCCAACCCCGTCCTGAGACCCCGCTGCAGTTCTGCCACATCCAGCAGCTCTCCCTCCTGCTGGACCCCCCGCGGGTCCTCGGGAACGACTGGCAGGGGCTCGCCGACCACCTGGGCTACGGCGTGACGGAGATCCTCAACTTCCGACGGAAGGAAAGCCCAACGATGGCACTTCTCCTCGACTATGGAACCAAGGTAAGACTGCACAGTCTACATATTTTAGTAAACGTCACCACAAAACAAAGATCGAAACCTGGAGCTAAGGGTTACTTACTAGTGATAACTGGTGAGATAGACGAGATAAAAGGGCTGAAATAATGAATATCTTCCGTAAACTTGGCTATGTCCAATGAAGGCACTTGGATGTTCAGACAGCTCCCACTTCTTGTATCTGATTGTACCTATAGCATTGGGATGTTTGCCCGACATCTTCCCGTTTTGGATACGACTAATGACATAACGACTTCCCTGTGCCAACACCAGGTGGATAAAGTGGAAGCTGCGAGAACTATCACGGAAGGTCTGGAGCTGTTGGGTCGTCTGGACGCTGTCGCCGTGATGGCCGCAAACGTCAACAGAAGCCAGAGCCACGATGGAGACAAATAACAAAACTACCTTTCATGACATTTGTAAGGAAACTTAGGATGTTACGTACAAACCTTCTATCATTACTTCGTCACATTTTTGTATGATTGTATGAATAGATCATGCTGGTGTTTCACAGAATAACACTTTAATTTGTAAAGAAGAGCTATCAAGTTACACGTGATAACATCTCGTTAAGGTAGGGATGAGTGCTCCCTTTTTTACAGAGGGTTACAACACACATGAATATACTCTTTTTTGTTTATTTAGACCATACTGATTTGTGAACACATGGAAAAAATTAAGTTTGCATAAGCTATTGAATCATCTATATTTTTGATGATAATTTATGTACGTGAACATATCCGTACCAGTACTATTGCATACGAGTTGAGCAAAATTACAAAATAGAAAAGCCATATATGTAATTGAAAGATAGGCTGTAATCTTAACAAGCTGTAAGCTGCAAACCGACATCAAATACAATCAGGTATCCATCATGTTTTAGATGACAGGATAGATTTTTCTAGATCAAATGCCGATAACCTTTGCTTTGAATGTTCCTTCAAGTGCCAATATGGCGCACTTCATAATCATTCAAGTCTTATTGAAACGTCTTGAAGACTGTCAGACGTTGATTGGAAAGGTGGTGCTATTTCTCAACTTGTAGAGCAAACAACAAGGAATATAACATTCCAACCCATTTCACACAACGTCCACACCACCACTACCATTTTGTCTTGCCCCATATTTTCTCGCTGACGATGTCAAACTTCCTCCCGCCGGCCGCGAACCGAGTCCCCTCCACCCGTGACACCGACTGCAGGGTCTCCCCGCGGATACCACTGCCGTCCATGCAGCTCTCGGACACGTGCATGTACACAACCTGACAAACACATTCACCCTGTCAGACAGCAGCGTTTAGGGGCTAGCTATCAAATGACAATGTAGTTTAAGTTTTATAACAACTAATTATTGTTGTAAATTTGTATTTTAAGTTTTCTAAGGCATCAATGGTGCTATGGTGTATTGTTTCTGATGTAGTTGTGTGAATAAATTTATCAATTTACTAAATGATGATACAAGCTTCCAGCAGTTACCAAAGTATCATAAAGTGACATTTTGTACATGTTGTTGATAGTATATTAGTTTTGAATACATCATTTCCTCTTTCGGTTACATTTGTTTTTGCTAATACCTAGGTCAAGTTATTCTACCGACACGTTCGTAGTCTCAATTTTTTTTGCAACATTTAGTGCATCTTTCTCGTAGTGCACCATATTCGTCACCTCCCAGGACCATTACATATCCTTGGAGAGTATATGTTAGCATCTTGCCCCATCTAAGGTAACACGTTTTGCACCCACCTGCCCCAATGACGACCGGTGGGTCCCTCCGTGCCGTTTCTCCCCCACAGGCAGCGTGTGGAGCAGTCTGCACTCCAGAGAGACGGGCGACCCCAGCACGTGTGGCGCCGGTCCGCACACGGACGGGGCGGGCGTCAGGCCAGCTTCCTCAAACTCGTCCACCTCAGGACCAAACTCCTGGGACGCTACGGACAGAACGGTAGCATCATGTCAGAATCTTTAACAGCCTACTTGGTGTATGTTGTAGTTTCACAGCCTGTTGCTGCCTGGACCCAGGATTTCTTGCCTGGTGTCGTATCATCGGCCTTCCTGTTCCTCCACACCCAAATAACCTATTCCCGGAGCCCGGTACACAACTTACCTACAAACACCTTGTGTATGATAGGGAGGGTCGTGTGGTTGACGACAAAGTGCCCCGTGGATCTGATATTTACCAGAGTGTCCTTTTCACTTCCGTCACGCCTCCTGAAATGCAGTAAGGGACCCCAGACAAATTAGGAGGATTAAGAGTAACGATTCGTGAACAAGGGTTCACTGTAGCTTCTACAAAGCTATTGCAATTGGCCTAGGTAACCAAGGAGACCCACTGTCTTTGAAAGGCCACCTGCTGTTCTAGTAACAAGTTTCGCCAAATGTACCCTCATCTTAACTAGTATACTATATAGTAAACTAGTATACTATACTATACTATACTATACTATACTACACTATAGTATACTAGACTGGACTAGACTAGACTAGACTAGACTAGACTAGACTAGACTGGTATACTACACAAACACACGTGTACACATGTACACACACACACAGAAACGCACACACACACACACAAACACACACGCACACACCCACAGACACACACACAGTGTGAGGTGAGGTTACAGGAGAAAATGACTTTACCACGTCACAGAGAAGGCGAGACTGGCGGGTTCGCTGGTGACGGGCATGAAGAAGGCGACTGGCGCCAGGTTGTTGCAGCCTGCCGTGGAGCATGTGCTGATGAAGGCGATGGGGCGCGGCTGGATGGTCGAGCACATGGCGTCATAACGCTGGACAAGGTCCAGGGAGTCAAAACTGGTGCTCACCTACAGGAGATGTGGGAAAATAGAAGACCCAAATCAAAGGACCTGTGTCTTTTCGCAATTTTTTTTGCTCAGAAAAAAATCTAAAGCGAAAAAAAGAAGAATTTTACAACGACAGAATGATCGCAAACTTTAATCTCTAGAATTTATGTGATAGAATAAAAACAAAAGGTATTGCAATATCAGACAATATTGAGTTTTAAAAGACATTACATCGGTCTTTTTAAAAGGTTACCCTGGAGGTCTTTGTCCTTTGTTTACCACCTTTCAGGTAGCTATAGGGCCATATCCAGCTCATGCGGTCTTCTGTTAAACATAAAACTTCATTGAACATAAACATTCACACCATGAAAATTCAGTTCGTATGTACACATGTTACACGTGGATTTGCAGGTAAAAGAAATGCACATAAATTGTGAGCGAATCAGTTGTGACGCACCTTTTTCAGGCTGTATGGTAGCGGCGTTTTGGCACGTACCAGTCCAGACAGGACTTTGGCATCCCACACAGACTGTCTGGGGTCCTCCGTAAAGCTGCTGCGCAGTCTGTTTCTGTTGATGATGACAAACACTGAAGATTACGGTCTAAAATACGGATCCGCAGTAAACTAACCTCATGACTTCAAACACGTGACAGAAAAATGAGCACAAAGAGAAAAACGACCTCCGCAGATATACATCACGTATAGACGCTTTCGAATTCACCTTTACATCCATCAAAAGCTATCCACAGGTATGGTAGTAGTAGTAGAATGGTTTATTCAATTCACTAAAAAGTACGTACAGCCCAGTTGCAGCCCGAAGGCCGAATTGTCAGGCCTGTTTACAAACAAAGTCATGTCTTCATACTACTTCAAATACATACTAAAATGTAAACGGTCAACTTATTTATCACATATGCATATATTATTTTAGTCAGTGATATTATAGATAAAATTTGAGAACACGTTAAAATCACTCTAAAAATTGACAGGCAAATGGCTAAAATCGACAATAACATTGTGGGACGTTAAAGATCACTCTAAAATTGACAGACAAATGACTAAAATCGACACAAGAAATTGTAACAAAGAGTGGAGCGGTAATATTATCAAGGGCTATGAATTGTTTATCAAACGTGTCATATGGGGGATGGCACTGTTCCTGTATCGGTCTGTTTTACAACGCTGTAAGTTCAGTTTGTTCGAAGAGCGAGTCCGGCGACTGCTGATACTCTGTCTTACGGGTGGAAGGAAGTGTCGGTACATCTGGGAAGTCAGAAGTGACTTAGCAAACTTCAGAGTCAAGTAAGATTGACGCGTGTGGAGTGTAGGCAAGTCTAGGAGAGAGCACCCCTCAGCATAGCTAGTGTAATCAATTCCAAGTATAATCCGAACTAGCCCTTCGAATGGATGTTGCCTTTTAAAAGTTTTAAACAGTAATTTCGGAAGATCAATGAATCTACACGATTACCTTCCGTTCTTGTAACAGGAACTGACCCCATGAAGATCCACCGAAAGTCTCTGACAAGTCGTGAAAACACCTGTGTTGACATCGCTACAACTTTTCTCCCCGTGTACGCATATAAAACGGGCTACGTGTAACGTTTATGTAGATTTATTACATGGCAAAAACCGGTTTTTGGCCGGGAGACATGGAGGGTATGTATGTGGGATTTTGGCTTTGTAAAAAAAAAAGAGAATAAAATTGATACAAATGTTCTTTTGTTAGGTTACATTTTTTCAATAGAAGTGGAAATGAATATTTTGCCACAAGTCAGTGATCAACACTGTAAATCATATTGCACGATTCCACAACATATTTATTATTCTTCCAATACTGCACAAGTCCCTTTGGTTTGTGTTGCATCCATGTTGTATACAGATCAAAGTTTAAGGTCAGCTCTCTGCGAAGGCGGATGTCGATTGTCAGCTGGATTTTTGCCAATGATAATGTGCTTAGTTTGCTCGTTCTGGCACGTATGCACTCCACCCATCTACAGTCAATACACATGACGAAAATCCAGGGACACCGCGATTAACCAGGCACCATGTAACCATCCTCCCGAGCAGGGTCAGTTGGGTCTCCCAACTCAGTTGGGGAGACCCCTTGGGCGGAGCGAACTGACCCTGCTCGGAGGGTGCATGTAACTGGCAGAGTTTCCTATCGCCGACGGGTGACGTAGTTTGGAGTCATTGACTTCATTTACAACCGCCTACTGAGTAGAATGCGTCATATAAGCAAATGTGCTTCTTGCCTGTGAATAAATAAATACTGTTTTTTCTCTGATAGTCATTTGTTTCGAAGGAAAATTAAGGCCACTACTACATCAACGGTTAGGTAGTACATACATTATTGTCTGTAACATTTCTACACAGTATAACAAAACATTTCTCAAACACTCGTAGTAAATGTCTCTCCTTTTATTATGTAGGTACAAACATATCAGATATAAATTCCTCAGCTGGTGGCGACCAACGAACGCCAGTTAAGGGCGGTCTGTACCGGTTTTACTTATGTTGACGCAATTCAGCAAACTAACAAATGGACTGTTCCCCATGACCGGTCAAATCTTTATCTTTGCCCCTTTCCTAAAAGTAGTCCAGACTCGGTGTCGAAATGCATATGACTGTTTTATCACTGATGTCAGCAAAACTTTAATAGTAACGTGTGACTCCTGGTATGATACTTTGTTCTGCAGTAATAGTACTCCGATTGATTTGCGGACGGCCTGTTTCAACCCAGCTAGCTATAGCCACTAGTTTCAATGTTATTGAGCGGTCATGATTCAAATCTCACAGTCCTAATAATTGATCGTCTACAAGAATAAAAAAAAAGTGGCCATCAAGAAAAAGTTGTCCGTTGCGTAAAATATTATTGGTTTCACTAAGTATGTATTTCTGGAGAAAGAAAAAAAAACAATCAAGCCTTTCTCTTGGTGAACTCAATCAAAAGAGACGTTGACATTGTTTGCGGTGCCACCTGTTAATTACTTAACGTTACATGTAGTACCGAATGGCATTTACATGTACTTATAATTAGCTTTCGATATGAAATTTGTGGTAAAATTTGGAGACCCCTTGTGACCTCCTTTGTTTATCTCTTTCTGTACTCCATGGAACATATTACAATGTAAAAGGTACTGGATGTATCTACATGAAAATGTACTAGTATAAATTCCCCATCAGACAGACCTACCTATCGCGAACTTGGAATGTTCCAAAAGGTGAGAGGTCACAAAGATGGCGTCCATCGACAACAAATGTGACACGGTTTCGTCTTTCTAGGTTTGTATCGATGATTTGTGCCCCCATAGACCCGTATGTTCTAAATTACTATACCCTAGGCGTAAGGAACTGTTTTACCGTTATGAATCTGTGCTATATTCGACTGTAGATCCTATAGAGCGATCAGTATTTGCTGATATAATTTGTGGGTGCAACGCAATCTTATAATTTTGTTGTCCCTGGTGATTTTTGCCACTCTACAAAATGTACTTCATCATCATTCTTAAGTGGAGAACTGTAGAGTAGAGTTGATCTCAAGTGTTTTGTTATTATCAGCAGCTGTTCATGTTGCTTCATAGATAACCAGTAAACGAATATTTTGTATGATAGGAGTATCGCCAACGGTAGATCTTTTGTGATCTAGCCAGAGCCTGGAAGCCACAGTTTGCCTCTTGGAAACACGGTTTGTGTGATATTAGACATGAGCGGCGGGCTGGCCCCCAGTAAGACCACAGTCTACGTGTCCAACCTGCCGTTTGCCCTCACCAACAACGATCTGCACAAGGTTAGTCTGGCGGAGCATCTTTCACACCATGTTCGTCAAGTTATACAAGGATATTACACCTCCTTGGTCTATACTATGTTGTTGAGTAGACAATGATACTACATATATGCATGTATGTATGCCCCTTGAACATTTTACGATCCATGTACACATCAGTCTTGACTAAATTATTGTTAGTTTCATTCACTATTTTATTTTATTTTATTCTAATTAATGTTACTGTCATGCTTTTATTTTTCAGATATTTGAGAAGTATGGCAAGGTGGTCAAGTAAGTATCCAGCTACATTGTAGTAAGAATTATTACTGAATTAATGAAACAAATTTAATTAAAGAAAGGTAATGCAAAAGAGGAATTTGAACATAAAGTAAAATACTTATGAAGAAAGCATTTTGATCGTGCCCTTCTTTTTACATAACCCAGGGTGACAGTTATGAGAGACAAGGTCACCAGGCAAAGTAAAGGAGTGGCCTTTGTGCTGTTCCTGAAGAGAGAAGAGGCACACGCCTGTGTCCGAGCACTCAGTGGGAAAGTGGTACGTATGCTCATATTTCAGGCTATACATTTGATTACTTGTTTTACAGATTAGCAGATGAGCTCTCCCAGACTTACCTAATATCAAAACCACATTGAAAAAAAAGAAGTACAAATGTAATATGCTCCATGTTACAGTTATTTGGGCGCACCATCAAATGCAGCATGGCCAAAGACAATGGACGGGCTTCAGAGTTCATCCGACGGAAAGTCTACAAGGACAAGAGCCAGTGTTACGAGTGTGGGGTGAGCCTTACAGTTGTCAGAATTACAAGTGTGAAACTTTTAAAAACATGGTTGCTTTCTTAGTAGTCAGTGATGCTGTACATGATGCTGTTTAATTCAATAGTTATTTTATCGGGAGCATATTAAGTACTATAATATATGCCTTGTTTGTGTTTTCTACCTCTATAGGAAGAAGGCCACTTGAGCTATGCATGTCCAAAGAACACTCTGGGTGAAAGAGAACCTCCACCAAAGAAGGAGAGGAAAAGGAAGAAGTCTCAAATGCCGGAGTAAGTCGTTAAATAGATGTGTAAAATCTCTCATCAACATCAATATTCCCTGTGGAGGGGGGCTGTCATTGCCTATGGTTTAAGGGACTAGAAATTGCTTGGGAGGAGGGCCAACATGTTAATACTTCTTTTGTTATGCTAGTGTGTGCCTGTACATTTGTGTACATATGTGTTATATGTCAAAATGCCCCCCCCCCCAGTCCAATGGATATATATACATGGAGGTGTAAATTTAACCAGTGCAGGTGTTGACCCCATGGGCTGATGGATGATGAAATCTAACCAGGAAAATCCTTGTGTTCTCCACAGAGAAGAACAGGTGGAGGAGGAAGAGGAGAGTGATGAGGGGGAGGACCCTGCCCTGGACAGCCTGGGGGCTGCCATCAGATATGAGGTCAGCAATCATGCTTCCACAAGGGACCACATACAGCACTACATGCTTGTTACTTTGATTGGATCCTTTTTGGGGGAATCAAATCTTTTAATTGAGGTGCTGAGAGAGAAAATCTGTGTTCCCATATTATTGTACCTTTGGGCAAACAACAACGGTACATTATTTGGCCAGGCTTGGAAGTCATTTCAATTTTTATCCTGTATCTAGAACTGCCAATGTGAAATCTAATTTAAAATGCCATGGACACTACTGGTTTTTAAAATTATGAGTACCTTGAATTGATCATATTTCTTCATCTGTACTTCCAGCAAGCCAAGATTGAGGAAGAAGAGTACAGATACAGAGTGGCTACAGGCAGTTACGCTGAGGCCAGCACTTCACAAGCTGATCAGGACACAAAGAAGAAAAAGTTCAAGAAAGATGAATATTTCAGTGATGAAGAGGATATCAGTGATCATGATTAGAAATCATTTTAGATACGTTTTACCTTCGATATTTTGAATTGACTATAGCAGGCTGTATTTTTAAGGAGACAATTGTTATTAAGTATGGATTCATTTGAGTTTTATTTTTGTCAAACTAAATGGTACATTGCATGAGTTGCATTGACCATTTGATGAAGTAAGACTTTGTAAAATAGTTATCATGTACAAAATAGATCCCTTTATACATATATAAGTAAGAACATTAAACTTGTTCTCCTGTGTTTCCATATAATACATCTGTACATATAGTCTGTACAACATAAATAAAAGTGCTTTGACACACAGTTAGATTTCCTTGTAGAGGAGTTCATATTTAGGGACGTTCCTGGGGTCAATGGGACTGCGAACCATGACCTTTCCCCTCATCGCACCCCTGAAGATCACTTCCACCAGGTCAATAAAGTCCTGTTTGTTCCTGAAGCTCCCAATGAACTTGGTGTGATCTGGTCTACTGTGGAAAGAAGTCATCAACAGTTCAGTGGAAAGGAGTATTAAATTATGAAGTAAAAAAAGTTGCAACACAAAGTAAAATAATTTGACATAGTGCTAATTTGTAAATGGTATTTTACTCAAAGAATAGTACATGTATACATTACCACAAGGTGCACACAAGCTAAAACAAAAATGATGGTATGAAGTTTCATCATATACTTTGGATGAACAACTCACTCATAGTCTACTTTGATGTGCTGTCCGTTGAAAAAGAAGATGGTTGCAGGGATGAGGGTGATGTCAAAATACTGTGTGTAGACCGGTATACTGTCCACATCCACTATGTAGATGGCTGCCATTTTGGAGAGTAGATTGGAAGTCTTGGACAGCTGTGGGAGAAAAACAAAACAGTTCAACAGTTAGTCAATAACTAAGAGCCCAGCCTATTTTCCGAGTAATGGTTACAATGTACAAATGTCAAACAGTTTGCTAGTTTGTACTTTCTTTTCATATCACTGAACTTTGGATACGTTTTCTTATGGCATGCAAATGTCCATTCTGGTTTGCGAACATTACAACCACAGAAAGCAGCACTTGCAAATTGTTTGGTAAGACCACACTGTACTGACTACTGTGTACATGGGTAATCGCATGATCACCGAAAATATTACACCACATCTCTGGTCTAACTCTAAGTTTGGGTGTCAGACTGTTCCCACAATCCCAGGCTAGCGCCTCGACTACTGGACCAACATGCCGTCGCAGTCATTTTACCGATGACCCCCTCAGTTAGAACCTGAGTTAAGGCCATGACAAAAGTCTAGCATACACATGATCCAGTCTACTCATGGAGGTAAAAAAAATCATGGCCTACTGTACTGGTAGTAGTCTGAAGTGACAACGTACGATATCGTCCAGTTGTTGGCACACGGGGTCGTGTTCCCGCCCGAACCTCAGCACTAGAACTAACTCGGCGGTGTTCCTGATCGCCTGGTCGACTTCAGCTTTCGTAGTGAGTCGAGGGAGAAGGTAACTCATCCTTATTTAGAGCAGGCACAGCAGCTGGGCAAATGTTGTTGGGTGCGTACCTGACCTCACTTGACCTCAGGAGTAGGTACCATATCCAAGGGGTCTACAGTATAGAGTCTGGATGTTAAAACTCTTTCTGTTTACCGACTAAGTAACTTTATAATACCTATAATATTGACTTAAAAGCATATCTAACTTACTACATATCTATAACATATTTCTATGTTTTGATGCAGTTCTCAACCACATTTCTACACTTGGTACCCCCGTCTTTGAAGTGAACTCACCCTCTTCGTACTGAACTGTGGGATATCCAAGATGGCAGCGCCCATGTGAAATCACGTCGCTCGGACCAAGAGAAAAAGCTTAGACGGATTTAATCGAAAACTCCGGCCCAAACTCCTGCCACAAACAGAGGAAGGTTAGAGAAGCCGTTCATTTGTTTCCGTTTGATAGTTATAGTGTTACAAATGACTGTTCCTTTTCATAACCGCGCCTAAACCTTCATGTAGTTTTCCGGCGCGGCATGGCCATGCGTGCTTCATCACTGCTTGCTTGTTACCTTCGCCCAGAAAGTTGTTTTTAAAGGTACGTGGCGTGTTTGTGGCTGTGCAGTATAACACTTAATGGATCGTAATGAAATGTGTAATAGCTTAGTAATAGCTACTTACCTGTCATATCTTGAACTACCGAAGAAATCATTGAATTGTGAGTCCCTGGGTGCTCTCCGTGGTACTGCAGCGGAAATCCCTGGACATGCACACATTGGCGTTGCCTCTGATAGCAAGTTAGCATTATTGCCAGAGATATGCAAAACACAATCATTACTATGTAGGAAGCCAGTACACCAACAGAGGTTAAAAAAAGCCTCCTTGCCTATACTTTCCTTTTCCAATGCATTTCTTTTCCAATACAGGTGTTCAGTCAAGTTATTATACATCATCATGCTGTTGTCAAAAATATCAAGAGCTGCACTCGGCCAAACTGCCAGAGTTCTGAGCAGAGATTACAGCCAGCACTCACGTCCATTCCTCGTACAGTCCCACATTCTGTACCAACACCAGGGGGCATCATCCTCTCACAGGTGCAGACTGCATTCATGGAAAGAGTCTTGCCCACAGCAGTCGACTTCTTGTCTTCTACCTAGATGTTATAGTTCCAAGTCCACAGATGGTATGAATGGTAGTGACAAAATATGCCAGACAGAAAAAGCAGCAAGCAAAGATACAACTACGTCTGACAGTCCTTCCTGTACTTCACAAAGTGGCCCTGTTTCTAGTGTAGAAAATGTACACGATGACAATGATGTTGTGGAGAGCGTGGATGTGCTAGCTCCCCGAGCTCCTGAGATCTTCAGGGAACTGTCGGAGCTGGACAGTCTGGACCTCAGTCAGGAGGAGAAGGAGTGGAAGAGGGCACAGCTGGAGCTGGAGCTCATGTTTGAGGTTGGTTTTCTTACTCAGTAGTGTGTAATTACCTCACAACTGGACAAATATATTAAGATAACTGATGATGATGGCTTTTTAAGGTAACTACAGGACACTTCAATCAACATACACCTTTTGTCGTCAACCATAGCTCAAGGTACAAAAACATAGAGATATCAAACTTGATATTCTTCTGAATTTTCAGATGTACAAGTGTACATATCTACTTGTGTACAATTGAAGAACAGGTGTGTCACAATGAGTGTAAATAAGCTTGACAAGACTAACTATAATTTTAAGACTGTGTAAAATGTTTTTGATGAGGGCACTGTGTTTATATGTGTTGTTTAACTTGAACCCGAAACATGTTGATATTGGATTTTTCTGCAGAGGTATGATGTAGAAAAAGTGACCATCACCGATCGCCATATTGAGCAGTTTATGGGTCTTCACACCAATAAGGCCAGACAGAAATTTGTCAACTACATGATCAAAACTGAATACAAGTAAGCATCTTTTCTTACATTGTGGATGCAGCTGCCGTATGTGTTTATATATAGTACCTGTATAAGTAAAGACAGCAATCCTCTATACTTCTTGTTTGTTTACAAGTGGATGAGATGCACTTCTGAAAGTACAACGAAGCTTGTAAAGTGACCGGTGTATCGTGAGTGCAAACACTTAGGTGTTCTTTTCTTACAATGAATTGTGTACATCAGCAGCATCTTTGTAGACTTTCATACATCATAGACCTAATCACAATACCATTGACTTACCAGGAAGAGAAGTTTTGCAGAGAAGAAGGCAGCCAAACAACAGCGTAGGAAGGAGCTGCTGGAAGGAGCCCCGCCCAGAAGTACCACCTTCCAGCCCATGATCTGGGGCAGGAAAATGGACGTGTTCCATGGCTGGAACCAGGCCAGGAACATGATGTTTGGCTCTGATGTGGGACACTTTTCTCTTCTTATTTGTCATTTACAGTGTTTGATTATAGTTATTACCATGGTAAAACGTCTAGGCCCCACATGCTACATACATGTAGCTTAGGATAGAGGGAATTCATGAAATCTTAGTTTGAATTGTTAGTAGATCTTTGACTGAAGAGAGCTTTGCTTGCATTTAAATACTAGTAGTGTTGTTGGTTGTTGTACTGTGTTGACAGGTAGGTGTGTCCAACTTGGCATTTATCAGACATTCTCCATAGTTGTTTCCATAGTTGTTTCTTGAGCCAAAACAAAACAAATTCTGAAGAGTGACAACAAATAACATGACTTCTGTTTTTCTTTTACTTTTTGTAGCTGGTGTTTGACTTCAGCTATGAAGATGAGATGCAGTTCAGGGAAAAGATCAACCTGTGTGACCAACTGAACGAAGCGTGGGGAGCCAACCAAAAGGACACAGAACCATTCCACGTGCACCTTGTAAACTTCTGCCCCGACGGACAGACCTACAAGGAGCTGGGTCGCAGCCGTGGGTACGATGAAGACTTTGCTGATAAGATGTTAGGGACGGTTACAGAGAAGTCTTATCTGGACTTGTTTCCTAAGGAGAAACTGGTGTACCTCACGGCAGACTCACCCCACGAGCTCAGAAAGTTTGACCCTGACAAAGTCTACATTGTTGGCGCCCTCGTGGACAGGAATCTCACCACAAACCTGTCTTACGCCAAGGTGAAACGTGAGGGTATAGCCAGCGCTGCCCTCCCCCTGGACAGGTACCTGTGGTGGGGGCTGGGTGACAAAGTCCTCACCTTAGACCAGATCATGAAGATCATGCTGACACTGAAACGTACCAACGATTTTGAGGCTGCACTCAGGCACGTGCCCACCCGCAAACACCACGGGCTGAGAAGTGAGCTGGCAAAGAAGAACATCCGCCCAGGGATGGGCGGGAACAAGTTTCAGTATCAAAGGAGAGGACAGCAGATGAGACATGTGAGGGAACAGCAGGATTCCTTCCCTAGAGTCGACAGAAGAAAAGCAAAGGCTTGGTTTGATGATTAAAGTCACTAGATACATGATACAGATGATTAAAAACTACAAGAGATAAAGAAAAATGCCCATCAGGGAAAAACAGATCTGTCATCCCCAAAAAAGCACTCTGTACAGAAGAGAAGAAAATCTAAGAAATTGAAAATTTCACTGTGCAATTAAAACCTAATTAGACCAGTATAATGCTGACCATGTTATGAGATGGAAAATTTTAATGGCAGGATTTTTTGTCACCATTTTCCCAGACTGAGCATTGGACTTGTTACACATGTAGGAGGTGATCTAGAGGCAGGAAAATACACGTTAAATACTAAGTATGTTAAACAAGTCTCCTTATAGAGATTTTAGAGATGATGTGTCATGAGATTTATTTTCTATGTAATGTTGGCATAAATTTGTGTAGCATTAGATGTTTCTTCATTTACACTATAAATGACATATTTTATTTCATTTATTTGCAAATGTTTCAGTACATTACACTGACTTTCAGGCAGCATGGTTGACTAGGTTTTTAGAGTCAACAATTATAGTGACAAATTACAACAAATGAGCAGTCATCGAATATCAAATTTTAGTGTAAAAGTGAGTTACAAACTATCTGTTACAAAGCTGTTCGATTCATCACAATGATTATTACAAGGTACAGTCAGTACTATCGTAACCCTCGTCTCCTTAATCTTTACCTTTCAGAAATACCGCATGGGATGGCAGACTTCATCCTCTTAGAATGTAAATACCCTGTAGCCGAAATTCACAGCAGAAACGGACACACAGTCAGACAAGCCAAAACAATTATTCACATCCCTGTTGGTGAATTAAAATTAAGCGTTCAATTTGCTACCCTAACGTGAATTTTTTAATGACAGTCTTCTTGCCACAGCTTCATGTACTTATTATTAGCCACAGCGTAGGGTATCCTCCAAAGATACATGTTGAGTGATAAGCAGTGTCCTAATCAAACCTACGCGAAAGCGCGTACACATGTTGCTTGCAGTGTTTGTCTAATTTACAGCTCGACATGAATTGTATATTTATATCGCCGAAAACTGCGAGTCGAGGGAAACTGCGCACGAGCAGTTTATTGCGCCGTCGAAAAATACAACTAATTAAGCAGTCGCCGACCGAGAGGCACAAGAGGCGGCAGCCGTCTCCGTGGTCTGTCTGAGGGCTGTGCGCACATGCCGTCCAAATGTGAGGCAGGAGAGGTACACACGGTTGTGTCAGACAGTGTGCACAACGCCTACGCAACACTTGGGAGGCCATCATGGCTGAATCCCCGCTCTCCGTGTGACTTCCTTCTTCAGCTACCATTTTGGCTCCTGTGAAAATATAATCATGGTAATTTGTCAACACTCAATGGCAAGGGCGATAGCTAGTGTCTTCTTACATAAAATTAGCCCAAGCCATGCAAAATGTTTCGAGTCTTTTCCAATCCAAAGCGCTGAATCCAGTAAGGAAATGAATACACATTTCCAGATTTTTTTTAAATCCACCCAGAAACAATTAAGGCAGACCACTGCTACATGAAAACATGTGGCGCATAGTCTCCCCATGCCATGACCCAGGCCCTGTGGCCGGAGAGGCTTTACGGTGTCTCCTACCTGTTGATCCGCTTCTTCTCCATCCCCTAACAGATGGTCATCTGGCCGGGTAGAAGACGTGTTGTGTTACCGTCTGACAAACGATAGATAATACCTGCTAACGAGCGCCGCTGCGCCAATCTGTCCGTCGTGACGTCGCAATCAAGGCCTTCCTGATGAAAGGCCTCGCCAGCCGGCCCCTCCAGGTCCGATCTTACATGGCGCCGCCTTTGGTGTCCGTCAGGAGCAAAGCCTCGCACGCCGACCAAAGGGAGAAAGCGGCGTAATCTGATTCCACCTCCCGATAATGAACAGAAGCGACCGGCACGATGTAATAGATATATGTCCGCTACTGAACCCTTTCATCAGTTCTGCCGACTGAATCTTCGCGCCGGAAGATCTGTCCCTTAGCGTCATTCTCGGCGCCTACATCTGGTGACACCCCTGGGGAGACGGTGTTGGCTCGCGCTGACGGAGTGTGGACGTCTGTGAACCTGTTGCTTTCATCTCCAGCCACGTCTGCACAACTAGAGAGGATAACGAATCATGTTGTCATTGACTGGTCCAGGGAGACATGCATCAGTAGTGCGGACGCCTTTCTTTTACCGTTTTGAGTTGCAATTTGTTTTCTTATAGGTTCTCGTATGCGACCTAGAAATGTAAAAATAATCTTGATGTTCCTAACCTTGAAGTCATTTAGCCCACATGTTCTACGGCAGCTTTCAATGTGAAGGTTTTCCACTATTTTAAATGATTCAGAGCGAAAACAACCAAACCCTGATGAAAAGTTCGCAGAGCGCATGCCCCCAGCGAATCTGGCACGCAGCAGATGCTCTTGGCAGCTCTTGTCAGGTTCATCATTATGCATGAGCCTTTCGTGAAAAGACACCGGCTCATTGATACACAGGGTCATAAGATAGGCCAGGACTTCCACATCATAGACCCTACCATATGCACTTGTTAACGAACGTATTTTACCACAACATCATCAGAAATAATGGCAAACAAGTTCCATCAATGCTGCTACCAAGGGCGTTTCGCATTTGAATGAATTGCGAAGTATACATGTGCAGTTTGTATTGATTTAAATCTATAGATGCCATGAAAACGCAATGGTCCAGAAGCAGCTGGTCCAACGAGCTCACACTTGACAGTATATTGAAGATAACGGAATGATTCCCATGTCTGCACACACTGACTGGCGCGTGTAATGGCCACACAAGGTCACCAGCTGCACGTAGATGGCCTTTACAAGTCCCGAGTCAGTGTCTGAACGTAACTGGGACGGACGGCCATGTTTGGGATGTGTGACCCGCGTGGTGAATGTTGTCCTCGGTTCATGTGGGCTCGGCAACAGCCATGTCGTCTGTCCCTGGCCGGAAGAGAGAAGTTGAGGTGAGCACCAAACCTTTCGATAAGATGTTCACCATCTCTGATAGGTTTGCGACAATAATGTACAGCATGTTTATCAAATATAGATGTATATAGTGTCCTTGGGCCCCAGACATATGAATGAACTTAGGGGTAAGAGTGAAGCTACTATACTGCCAACGTAAATACATTTCCTGCAAGTGCGACAAGTTAGCTTTTTACAGGCGATGCTGTTATTTTGGCGGAAGCAATTAGTCATTTAGACTTACACAGAAATATTTGGCAAAAGCAATTACAGATGATCCTTTTGAGAAATATGGTCTCCTTATAATCTTTGGAAATTGTGGACCCCGGTTCACTCATAAGTAGACATGTTCCAGTTTACAAATTTGGTACAGCATTGGACAAATTTGACAATAAAGGCACCGCTTATTTATTAATATGGTTGGTGGGTAAGCGGTAACCAGATGTGGGCTCCTAAAGCGGAGCCCAGGTCACCAGTGTTCGACTGTAAACACAACATCAACACAACATTATGTAAACTGACATAAGAGAGTGGTATCTGTATCTGTGTTGGATAACCAATATGTAACCGCTCTTCAGCGTAACATATGAAATGCACCGCTCAGCCCTCAAGCATAGCGCAAAAACACTAGCCTGGAGTCCAGCCTTGTTAGCTTTGGTTCGCTCCCCGAGGCGGGGTAGCGGATCTTGGGGAGCGGACCAAAGCTAACAAGGCTGGACTCCAGGCTACAACAACACTGCTCTTAGGTTCTGATTTTTTAGTTGTTTTGAATGTCAACACAGTACATTTGTTATTTTTTATCTAGCACTAATCCCTTATATATATATACAACAGGAAGACGACATCTTAGACTGGTTCGGTTGGGACTTCGACGATCTGAAGAGTAATCCGAACATCGCGCTGGGCGCAGTGGCGGACACGAGTGACTTTTCAGGGTTTGACAAGGCTAGTGGCTTTTGTGATAGAATTAAACTGTTACGTAATAGACAGTGGTATCTTGTTGAAATCATCTCCAAGCAAATAGCAGAGCCTCCAGTAGAATACCTCACCATTTGGAAGACAATTCCAGCGAACACATCTCAATTTACTTAAATTTGATTTAAAGTCATATAGAAAACAGAAATATGAAAGAGGAGGGGAAATCACAATAGGTACATTGGAACAGGAAAATACACCCTACCGAAGATGATGCGCCAATTTTGTAAATACATTTTTGTGTGAAATAGGTTCTGTACATGGCAAGTAACGCGCTGATACTGAAGGGAACACGCAGAGGGAGGGAGGTGGCCCTCAAGGTCTCGCGAGACAACGAGAACGCGTGGAACGAGATCGCGGCCCTCACGGCCATGGAAGGAGAGAACCACTGCGTGGAGGCCCTCAGCTGGTACACGGTAGGGATGGAACCGACATGTCCTTCCTTATACTGTGTTTACAGACAATGTCGTAGCCTCAGTCATATTGCTGGGTTAAAGACGCGTGCATGGTCGACATGGAAATCCTCAAGTAACCATAAATTAACGAACGTAATTATTGTTTCCTTAACTTGTCAGATTCCGGCCGAGTCACCCCAGAAGCACCCGGACCGTGTCACCGTGTTGGTGGAACCATATATTCCCTCTCCGGACAAGAAAGTTCAGGTGAGGAAAATAGTGGGATTGCATACACCTAAAGTTACATCAGAGCCAACTCGAAGCGTAATGCTAGGCGCTCAATGCTTTTCGATAGCTGATATTGCAGTGCACAATGGGTTTTGTGGGATTACATGCAGATGTTTGACATCCGAGGCTCGCGTATAAAGGCCCACTTTTATTTACGCCCTTCTCCATATGTTGTATCTACTGTATAAGATTTAAGAGCATCTTAACGAAAAGATACTCTGTCCTCAGGTAACGACGTGGGGAAACGACGGGGTAGGAGAGGTCCACACCATCCCCGTCATGTCCAGCTCAGGTGAACTCAGGGACTACATGGAACAGCTTCTGGAGGCAATTGTACGTTTGTTTGTTTGTTTGTTTGTTTGTTTGTTTAAGCCTCTTTTTATTAATGAAGTACTCAAAATCGGTTTTCATTTAGTTTGAGGTCATGAGGAAGGAGGTCAAGGTCAGGCAAAATATAAGATTTTTAAGCATTTACTCTTAATAAATTCATAGATATTGTCAGATACGCAACAAGCAGCAGTTGCTGTTTGCCACAAGTGACGTGTTGAAACGTAACGCTCTTTAAACGCCCCCTAGCGGCACATCCACAAGCGCAGCTGGGTCCACCTGGACATCAAGCCGTCCAACATCCTGGTGGAGGAGAAACAGAACGGCAGAAGTCTGACTCTCATCGACTTCGACGTCGCCCTCAAGTTAGTGAACTGCAATTGCAGCTTCCCATGTGCATGATGTTTTAATGCTATAATGTTTTGTATTTATTTTCTCCAGATATGTACCACAGGGCCGTCTTTGAATGAAATTTAACTTTCGCACAAAACATACAGAATTGAAATCATCGAAACTTTGCCTGTTACTTCGAAATTCATCAGGAAGACTAACTCACATCCTCCGGAACGTGATTGCACGGTTTCGTGACTTCAGTAACGAAACTAGGTTTTCTTGTCTTCACTAAGAAGACTAACCCCAGTGACTTCCCAAAAGTGACTTTAGTAATAGATCTATGGTGCAACCATTGAAAACCTGTCCTGATGAGCCTACTTGCCCCTGTAGGTTAGACCAGGCCCTCCGTGCGAACATCCAGTACGGGACGCCATTCTTCCAGCCGCCGGAGGTCCGGACGGGCGACCAGGCACGTCTGTCCGCCAAGGCCGACATCTACTCCGCCGGGATCACCTTCGCCCTGGTGGCCAGCTGTGGTAAGCGTGATGCTACAAAAATCATTGAGGCATGTAAATATACAAGAAGGCCAGTGCGGTGACGTACTCAAGGTGTAGAAACTTATACTAAGACCACGAACATAAAGAACTATAGGTAATGTCAAAATTATTATGACGCAGGTGAGCCATAAGGTGAGCTGAACAGCCCCATTGGAAACAGCAATAGGACACCGAATAAAAGGGACATATCTTAAACTATATACCTTGTATTTTCCAGCCCATCCCTCCGCAGACTCCCTGGTCCTTGACGTTGACGACCCGTCTATCCTGATTAAGCGATGTGAAGACTCTCCCATCCTGAGCGGAAAGGGACTAAAGTTAGTCCGCGCCATGACGCACCCAGACCCGACCAGACGACCCACCGCGCTCGCCGCTCTACAGCACTCCTACTTTTCGTAACGTTAAATTCATTAAATTGACCACTCTGTAGTTTTGTCCTTCGCCATGTTTATTTTCTTGTTTCTGGCCTCTCAGTTCAATGTCGAATGACGCGTATCATTTACTGGAGGAAGCTATTAAATGCATTCTAAAGTTATAAGAAACGTGTGCGTTCATCCGTGCATCTGAATCGTATTTTCATGAAAACGGTTTAAATGACCGTTTACACTGATGACCTATTTTAAGGTTTATTTTATAAACATTCGGTATATATAAACAGTACATATGTGGACACGTACGTATGTGTAAATATGCTGACCTCGCATGTGCACCCGCCTCAGCCACGCCTCTTCCTAGTCCAAATGATATACATATCTTGCATATATTGGTGAAGTCAGTATCATTGAGTCCGAAGAGACATCAGTCTAAGAATCAGCTAGTACACGGCTTGAGATGTCAAGCTGTGCGTTTGCAGTCGTGCTGTTGTGCCTCGTGACTGTGGCTCTATGTCAAAATCAAGGTAAGAAACTGTAATTCCTTACCTGCTCGTAGTAAATAAGTATTTTTATTTTATTATAATTTGTGCGAAGAATTGTGTTTTCATGTAACTTTACCCTAATCCCCGACTTCAATGCGATATTGGAATAAAGTTGTTTGTTAACAGGTCATTTTCTGTCCGTTGTAGGCTAGCTACAAATGCGTACACGTGTTCAAATGCTGTTCTAGTTCTTTTAGATGTAGTCTCAGCAGTTATAATGGTAGCAGCGATCGATATGGCTATGACTGTTTCGAGCAAGATATACCGTGCGTATCTGCGCAGAGTTGTGGCGAAATGTAACGTTAAACAAATGAGTGGGAATCAAACCACCTGTCACGCTGGCAGATAACAGTAGAAGAGAGCCTGTGTGCTTGGTTAAAAATGCGAGCTGTGGTTCAGCCGCATTGCGCCATCTAGGTCTGCAACTTCAGAATTAAAAGGATTCGGCTTGGCTAAGAAATACATTTGGGACGACCTGAATTACATTCACCTTTAAACGGGCGACGTCACTTGTGTTGTTACCAGAGTGCCCGGATGCTGACCCAACCTTGACCCCATGGAATCCTGGGCACGACCCTACTGCGCGGGTGGTTGTGGGTAGAGGACAGAACTACCTGCTCCAATCATCTGCCACGTTTTACTCACTGGAGGTCAAGGACGGAGGTAAGTCTTCCAAAGACATGACTTGGCAAAAACCGACCAGAGAAGGGCTAGTTTACGTTCAATTTTTTAAGGTTAGAAGAACCAAGTAAGGCTATCTTTTAACTAATTCAAACAACAAACCTACGTTTTGGTTAGGATATATATGTATGCATATCTTTGAATAAATGGGTTACTATAGCACAGGTTTTATGGTTGGTAGGAAATAAACGTGCCAACACAATAGCGTTGATGTACCTGTCGTGACTTAACCTCAACCAAGCATATTCTGGTCGATATTACAGACTTTCTAACTATTTAAAAACAGGCAGACTTGTTTTTGCTGACTTGGGACCAACAAGTGATACAGAAATAGTCCTGAGGTCACGCGAAGTAAACGTGGGGAACGATGGCGAGTTCCACATCGGCAGTGAGACCTGCCCGTACCAGGGGAAGGCCACGGTGTCCCTGTACGGCCGCTCGGACGAAAACGTCAACAGCACCAAACAGTTCCTGGTGGCGTCAGGTGGGACTCTGGAGATCCACGGACAACACAAGGTGGCGTGGACACAGCTCACACAGACAGTACCAGTAGGGGGTCTTCCTAAGGTGGGTACAAAACGTTACATTAGATCCAGGAACATCACCTTAAAGCCTTGTGTTTTCGTATTGAAATAACGTCACATGCGTTTCTATCTGCCTAAGAGTATCCCCAAATTGTAATTGAGCATCATTCAGTTGACGCCTCAATGCCCATATGAAGACCTATCATCTTATTCCTTTATAATCATTGTATGTTAAATAGATCATACAATAACTAAATAAAAATCTACAACAAGGTTCCATTTGTCATGTAACAGGGAGCCTATAGTTGGGATTCCGCTCTCGGAACTGCTGGGAGGGGAATTCACGTACATGTCATCGATGAGATATCAGGGGCTGTGGTGGACTGGCAACTCTTCGACACCCATGGGGACGAAAGCAACAGCCGAAATTTAGCGGCTTTCATCGACCAAATACCACTAGGCAAAATCGTGACATTGCAAGTGGAGGATTCGGCAATCAAAAAACTGGAGGCTACCGCAATTGAAAAGATGCGGGAGTTGGGAAGCGTGGAGGTGGACGCTTTAGGATACAGGTACGACGTGTTTTGTTTCATGAGGAGCTGTAGGCCACGTTGATTCCTTAGTTGTTATATCTTAGTTATATCTGTCCTTTACCATAGCAAATTACCAACGTACATTAAGAAGGAGTTTTGGTGAGAATAATAGCCATAGTGCCACTGATGATGTTGATGTGCATCCAATAAGGTATGCCATAACACAAATATGACATTATAATTCATATGAAAAGTACAAGTAAGTAATACCTACTCATGTAGCAACGTAATTATTGCTCTGCTTTAGGGAGCCCTGGGTGTTTGCGGGAGTGAAGGGAGACCCCAGTCGCGCTGTAGAGCAGAGAATCCCATATGTTGGTGAGTACTGCTTCCTTTACACTTATGGACGTATTTTCTTTGTTCGTCACAACGCTTTGATCAAGATCATGTGCTCAAATTTATTTTATATCTTATTTAAGACAAAGAGACCACCGGCACCGCTGCCATCACCGGTACCTTTGACGCTTTCTTCGGCTCCTTCGACATCTCTGTCACAAGTGAATGGCTGGGAGGTAAGAGTTTCTCTTACATTTAGAGAGATTAATACTCGGGTAAACAATTCCAACCCTATCCGAAATAAGAGTCCAATGAACTCGAAGCGTGGTCTTTTCCCATCTTCTCCAGGGAATGAGCGTTGCACCTTTTCGGTGGAGGGCGGAGGTGGTGAGTACATCATCAACCTGAAGGATGACGTGAGTTCCTGGCAGCCTGGGGACCACATCGTGCTGGCCAGCACGGACTACAACATGGAGCAGGCAGAGGAGTTCCAGCTGCTGCCGTGCCAGGAGTGCTCGGACCACCAGGTCAAGATCAGCGGTAAGAGGCTGTACGTCACTTGCTAATATATTTCTGACGTCAATAAGCTTTCTCTAGAATATCAGTGTCCTTAAAACCTCCAATCACTGCTTACTGTTCGACCTGATAGGACAAATCAAATATAACCACTTTGGTGAGATCTCGGATGAAGTAGACTTGCGGGGAGAGGTTGGCCTGCTGACCAGGAACATCAAGTTCCAGGGGGAGGTAGAGGACAGCTGCTATGGCGACAACTTCTGTCAGTTCTTCGACTACGACACGTATGGAGGGCATCTCAAGGTATGTTTTGGAATTCAATTATTAAGAATTCATCTTAATTGAGTTCCATGTTTCCAAATGCCATGTTCTTTAGCTCGCAGTTTCATTGAACTTCAGTTTTGAACTATTAGGTTATGCCAAGTTTCAAGAACGTGCACCTGTCTGGCATCGAGTTCACCAGAATGGGCCAACAGGTGCTCGGCAGCTACCCTGTCCACTTCCACATGGCCGGAGATGTGGACGAGGTCGGAGGCTACAGCCGCCCAACGTACGTCCGAGAGCTGTCCATTCACCACTGCTTCTCCCGCTGTGTGACCATCCATGGGACCCACGGGCTACTGGTCAGTCAATGTCACTTTTGTGCTTAACACCTTAATCATAGCGATGATGCATACATTGCACTGGGATAAAAGGCCTCATAACAAGAGAGACAGAGATCTGGATAGACCTTTTTTGTTACATCACATTTAAGCACACGTAAACCTCCATTACATTACAGGTCCAAGACACAGTTGGGTACGACACACTCGGTCACTGCTTTTTCCTCGAGGATGGCGTGGAGCAGCGTAATGTTCTGGACCACAACTTGGGCCTGGTGACGCGGGCAGGCACGCTGCTGCCCACCGACAGGGACGACAACATGTGCCGGAGCATGAGGGACGCGGTCTACGGGGACTACGTTCCACAGACTATCAATTGTCGGTAAGAGAATCTTATTTCTATTACTGAAACGTCGGAAACATCACGCGTTATATCTCGCCCTTTTCCTATCTACTTACGATGGTGTCTAAAAAGTCACAAAGTCCTTACTTCTCAGTTTTGTGTTGTGTAATAACGATGGACATTGTTTTGAAGCAACATTTTCCATTTTTCCGCTAAGGGCAATATCGACTTTCTGGATTGCTCACCCAAACAACATCCTCACCAACAATGCAGCTGCCGGATCTCCGGTAAGGTTGTGTTAATCTTACGAAGATATATGATTTAAATAAACTAGTATTCAATGGCTTATTGTGGTCTGGAAATTGTACAGATCGTAACGACTGTTGCCTACACGCATCTACAGCATACTGGGATCTGGTACGTGTTCCACCGTGAGCCGACCGGCCTGTCAGAGGGCGCCCTACCCAGGGGCCAGTCAGAGAGAACACCCTTAGGACGGTGCTACAACAACAGAGTGCACTCCAATGGCATAGTGGGTATTTACATAGGCTTCAGAATGAAAATGCTTATCGATAGAATAATCTTCTGTGTATAAGAATTCATTTGTAAATTTCTAATCGTCATTTATTAGACGCTGATCATAATGATGAATCATTTTCTCCAGGATGGCTTCAAGATAGACTGGGGAGTAAAGACCACTCAGTCATCTGCAAAACACCCAGAGGAATACCTGTCACGAACACCTGCACGGTATGTTCATTTACTTAACATTCCATTCTACTTAACATCTGTACTTGATCATCAGCATCGCACCACAGTGAAGCAACACCATCTTGGCTAGAGATCACCTATCGTGTCCATCATGACAGGAATTGCATGGCAATAGAATGGGTATAGAATGTTTAACGCAACAATGTAGTGCTGCTTCATGAGACAAACTTAAAGCAACTACTGATGTCTACCGCGGAAACATAACAACAAATTAAATGAGGTAATAGTAGTCCTATAACTGTCACCTACAGGTACAAGCCTCACCAGAACGCGGACCTCCTGCAGCCACGTGTCCCGGCAATAGTCGAAGGTCTCATCACCTTCAAGAACTGGGATGGTGGGGTCTGGGTCCGGGGAGGGGACATCTGGTTCGACAAATGCGCGTAAGTTTATATACCAGTAGTTCGTATACTGGGAATGTTCTTCAGAAATGTCCATAACAGTAAGCAAACATTGATTATCTTTTAACAAAGAGAAAAGTGTGAATGATCAAAATGTCTCTTTTACCTTTATCTACATCATAACCATTACTCAAAGAAACAATCGATAGACAGACGAATGAACATGTTGTTTCTGATAATAAACTGTAAGTCTGGTAAAGTTCAATCTTGCGTTTCTTCCAGATTTGTGGATAATGGAAAAGGACTGACATTGGCCAGGTACCACATTTTACCCTTCTATGATCTATAGATACTATTTTACCACCTCTTTGGTTAGTTTCTACCTTACTTTTGTATCTGTAAATAATGACCAACTCGTCTTTGACTAACAAATGGTGTTTGTTAGTGACATCGTTTCAGTGATTTGTTTATCAGTTAGTACTTCAACATGTATAGTTATAGTTGTTGACATCATTTTTACAGCGAAGGCCACTTCCCTAACGATGAGGGAGCGAGCCAGCAGGTCCGGAACAGCATCTTTATCGGGGAGAGTGAGAACGTGGGCACTGCCAGCGGGTCCAGCGTCTGGGGGATGGGAGGGGTCAAACCGGTGGAGAGGAGTCTACCCCAAGCCACGTGTGTTATGTTCTTTACAACATTGTTTATACAACGTTATGGCTATTTTTAATCCTGATCCAAAATTGGTTATGCAATGTTAATATGCATGACGTGCAGATTGCACTGAAGTCAATTTTGTGCAGAAGAATCAATATAGACATCACATAATTTTCGATGCTACGTCAGGCTAGTACTGAATTGGTAATTACGAGAAGAGGATGCTAGTCAAGAATGGGATGTGCGTTTTTGTACTGTAGAGACTTCCCATTGCGAGGATTTGAAGTGTATGATGGCCCCGTCTTAGCTGAAAGTTGTACCTTCAAGAATTTCGCCGCGGCCCCGCAGTACGACCGCTGGAGCAGCGCGATCGCGTTTAAGCTGAAAAACAACTGGCAAACGGCGACGAAGAGCAACCTGACGGGGATAAAATATGAAAATGTGAGAAGATATTTCTTGTGTTAGTAGCATATACGTAAAAATCTTGTATTAGTCTAACCCAACTCAACCTATACGATGAGAAGAATACTGCGTTCTAGGAAACTGTACATCATCGTGGCAATCGCAAACCATCTTTGGTAATGTATGAAGGCTTTTTGAGGACTCATGTTGCAAAATGGACCCTTTGTAGGTTCAAACCCGTGTGTTTTTCGGGGGCAAAGACCTGGCATGGTTTGGCACAAACGACAGGGACGGGGATAAGACATCGGTTTTTCACGACGCGGACGGCAGCACCAGCGGTTATCTTGACTCCTACGTAGTCGCGAAGGACAACTATCTGGTCAGGAACCCAGGATGTCTGGAGAAACCGGAGTGGGGAGGGTACGTCTGCAGCGGGAATTATGCACAGGTCGGTATGGAATGTTATTGTCGACGTCCAGTCAATTTGCTTATAAGGCATGATTTTGTGATAATTATAGATCTTAACATACAGTTATACCTACTATAGCTACCGAATAAGTGATACAGCCTTTGTACCATTCTGGATCATCAATACCGTTGAACTATCATGATCGTATAGATGCTTGGGGTGGTAGCTTTATTAAGACGATCTTTCTATACCTGTATCCAGCTGTTCATCCATGTAGAGCAGCCCGCGAACCTGCTGATGTCGATGGTCCGAGACGAGTATCCTGATCAGCCCCTGGTCCTCCAAGGTCCACGTTCACAGGGTCCGAACGGCAAACAGAAGTACCAGCCTGCTGTGATGCTGGAGAAATCCTACACTATCCACTGGGACGGACGGGCGCCCGCACAGATCATCATCTATCCGATAAACTTCGACAGGTAGGTTGGGTCTAAGCTGAACTTAGTTGTTGTGCCAGATTTTAGCTTAACCATTAACGTGTGGATTCTGTTCAGCAAGTAGTTGCCACAATTCAGATCAACTTTAAAGGCTTGGTGTGAAAGGAGTTTTCTTTAGCTTGCACGTATTTGATCTTTTGGATTAATCTGACGAATCTAATGTCTTCCTATCTCAGCGAAGATTGGCTTCGGCTAGGACTCTGCTACCCACCAGGAACCATTTTCCGAGTGTCGTACCAGCTGGAGAAGCGCGTGCCGTACGCTATCGTTCATGATGAGGAGATCCACCCGGTATCCAGCTTGAACGCTGTGGACGGCGGCGACGGCAAAATGTTCTACTTCGAGGAAAGCACTGGGTAAGATGGAGTCTTTCAGCTCTCTGCCTTGTGTTCAACAGATAGTTGAGATAAATCACATTACAGATTAGAATCCCCAGCTATTTTTAGCTGTAAAAGCGCCCCCTCCTGTATATATGATATGTGTTGAAACGATGTTGAAAATTGACCTTAAGTGCGTCTGTTATAGTTGTAACATTTTAAATCCTTCCGGTCACCAAAATTGATATTACTAGAGACTGCACCCAAACATCCTGAAAGACATTCACATTTGAGCATTTACTTTCAGCCTTTTGTTCTTGAAAGTCCGCGCTAACTACGATCGGGAAGGCCATACGTACTGTTCACACATGGGCTGTGAGAGGATCATCATCACGGCCACCATGACAAGTGACGCGGTCAGCGACTGTACAGCAGCCGCTTATCCCAAGTACAGCCTGACGCCGACAGAGACTGTCCCCATGCCGAGCTTCCTGAGTCTGGTCAACGACTGTACAGGCTGTGGTGCTCCGGTGAGTTGGCAGAGTCTCTAAGTTGCATCGCAGCAGTACAGAAGCAAAGATGTCTCTTAATGACATCAGAATAGTACCACAAACAAGGTCCCACTAAATTCCAGGCGAATCTACCCCACAACTCAAAATGACCTTATAATTACGAACACGTGACTCCACCCGTGGGTGAAAGGTACCTGAAAATTTGTCATTCTAGCTGCTATAACGTATGTACGGACGGCAGTTTTCTGTGTATAAACAATTTCAACTTACATTGCAGTGGTAACCAGCAGGGGCTTCGCGTTTGCCATGCACCTTTTATTATTATGTGTACATGGAATAATGAAATAACCACCCCATTTCTTCATAGGAGCCGGTCGTCAGTGATGACAACGTGAAATATCTGGAGGTGACTATTCTGTCCGCAGGGAAGGAGGAAATGGATCTGGGTCATAGACCTTTTATCGAGGTACGCCTGCGTTCTCCATTTATCATTATCATTGATATGTAATCCATAGACTACGATTATGGAAAGTCACATATATATACGTTCTCGCCCAATCATTTTTGGGAAGCTTTTGAGTGTTTTTGATGATACATGCCAGAAACGACGACACAGACTGACAATGTGAGGTGCCTCTGCCCTCAGGTAGACGGAGTCCGGTTCGACGATCGTTCCCGAGGTTTCCTGATCATCGTCGTTGACGCACTGACCAGTGCCGTCACGCATCAGATGACGTTCAACACCCACGGTCAAACCGCTGATGCTGCAATGGCAAACTTCATACGGAACGACATCCCACAAAAGTAAGTGATAAAAGAGTCGTGTTGAAACCACGTTAAAACCATCATTTATTCCCCTTTTCCGTGTGACATGTCACTTCCCGTTATGAATGTACTTCCTTCTCACTTTCTCCAGCTCTATCGTCCTGATTACAACACGTTACTCCTCCAGTCGCTATGCTCAGGAGTGTCTGATCGCACTGAAAGAGATCGGAGCTCAGGAGCCTGTTCGGACAGACTTTGGAGGTTTGTGTTCCATTGGTCACTATAGCTAGCTCATGTGCGAATATATTGTAATCAACACATCTTAACTCTTTTCGACTTGCATGCTAGCCGTGTAATTTTCTGAATCATTCAATGTCATAGACGATGTACAGATTTTGTGGTTATTGAACTTTGCTATTTCGTCCTATGTTATAGATAATTTCGCCATGGTTGGGTTTAAAGGCACCGCCTGGCCCAGCTGGGTCCAGCAAGTCAACCTGCCGTCCGGTCAGGGTCCGGCACAGATCTACACCAAGATCCCGCTCATGGGCTGATCACCAGTCAATGGTAGAAAGAACGAGCAAATGTCTTCAACTCTTACAATAAAGATCTTTTGGGAGAGACGTGTCTAGTACCTACGTGTCTACTATTTGTTTATCTCAGCATCATGCTTGCTTGATCTATTTATTCTGAAGTAAAACGTCATAAAAACGTATATTACTGCGACTAAGAGATTTTCCCATTTTCCATTGTTGTTGGGAGAAGAGGGAACTTCTTCTATCACTAAAAGACAGGCATACCTTATCAAAAAATGGATGCCAGCAAATTTGTAGCGGAAAATGCGTGACGTAAATCCGAAACTTTTATCAACAAAGGACATAACTCTTTATCAAAAAGTGGATACTCGCACATTTCTAGGGAGAAACATGCCGTAACCAACGACATGCAAACGGCATAAATGTAAACACACCGGGGTTGCTGGCCATAAGGCCATTTCCTTATCAGCTACGTCGCTTCCTATTGCCAAACAAATATCTACATAAGGTCGCTCTAGTGAGGATATATCTCACAAAAGGGGGAACGTTTGCTCCAAGTGTCTCGTTGGGAGAGACGAGTGATACACTTGACCTGAGATGTCAACCAGCGTCTTTACAGTCGTGCTGCTGGGCCTTCTGAAGGCGGTGATATCGCAGAGCACAGGTAAGGCACTTTTAAACAGTTACCGTTACTTAATATATATGTTAAAGGAACCATGCTCTTTTATACGGTGGTGTACTGTGTAGTTTTATTTTGCATATCTATCCCATATGGTGTTCTAGTCTATAGTAAATAACGACACTTAAAGTTGTTGTAAATGATTTTTAAGATATAGATAGTGAATCGTCAAAGCAAGAAACACAATCCATGTTGTTCTGTAACACTACGCTTGTATCACCTGTTGGACATGGCAGCTGGGTGCAAAGACTTACTAGAATCGATGACTGCAGCCTTGACTTTATCTTGTTCATGAATGAATAGTAGATTAGCACGGTTATTAGCACCATATAGTACGGCAACTAGGGAGTATATTTTCCATGAAAAATAACAAGACGTCAATCTAATCTTCTGAGATAGATGCCCCGTTCGGAAGTTCTGTTAAAGGCATCTGTACCTTTGGCAAGTTTCGTAAAAAAGATCGCACAATAAATTTAGATTTAACTAAGGGTCATCATGAACCGTATCCTTTCTACCCCTTCCTCTATTGTTAGCCTGAGCTCTGGAAAGTCAAGATCAAATATATCGAAACATTCAGCTGTCATTGAGAGTAATGTTGGCAACATTCTGTGGTATACCTTAAAAGTAACGCGTTTATGGATGTAGGGTAAGGGTCATACATTGCTCTGTGCAGTCGTAGTGACATGTTAAACAAATATTGCATGGGAATCCAACCAGTTGTTGCTCAACGTCGTGACATAAATGTATCTCAAATGATGTAACATTGGGTAACGTTGTGTCACTAGGTTCCAAATAGCATCTGATTCCGACTTGAAAAATATACGAAGGCCTTTGTAATTACAATGTGTTAGTGATAGAAACTGTCGGCAACCAGTTATAATTTTCCGAACTCCTAGGATAGCGCAATCAGCCCACACACATAGCAAGGCCATCGGGGGTCATCATACGAACGAGCGTCAGATAAAGATATTTACGGAGTATGATAAACAACCACAGCACATACAAAATTTGAATTGACGTCACTTCTATCATCAGGATGCCCGGATGCTGACCCAACCTTGACCCCATGGAACCCTGGGCATGACCGTAACGCGCGGGTGGTTGTGGGTAGAGGACAGAACTACCTGCTCCAATCATCTGCCACGTTTTACACACTGGAGGTCAAGGACGGAGGTAAGTCGAGGTCCCTGCCAGATTCTTCTGAAAGTTGTTAATTCTGAAACACTAATTGAGATTAGAAAATGTATTTCACTTTTTAGTTTGAAAAAAAAAACCGTACGGTGTACAATGGCTTCGAGGAATGTGCACAATCCTACATGTAAGATGTACATGTACCGTAAGAAAATGATGACTATGTATGCTGATACATTTAATGCACAGGACGAGTTGTATTTGCTGACTTGGGACCAACAAGCGATACAGAAATAGTCCTGAGAACACGTGAGGTACTCGTGGGGAACGATGGCGAGTTCCACATCGGCAGTGAGACCTGCCCGTACCAGGGGAAGGCCACGGTGTCCCTGTACGGCCGCAAGGACGACCAGAAGAACAGCAAACAGGTCCTGGTCAGTGCAGGTGGGACATTGGAGATCCACGGACAACACAAGCTGGCGTGGACACAGCTCACACAGACAGTTCCGGCAGGAGGCCTGCCTAAGGTGGGTTCTGAGACTAGTAATTGTTATATTTCTTAGTCTTCACAAATAAACCTTATCTAGAATATGATGAAATTACCAGTGTGCAAAAAGCAGTGACAAGTTTCTTTACAACAGGGTACCTATGCATGGGATGCGTCTACCATGGGAGGTGGCCGCGGAATGCACGTGCACGTCATCGATGAAATATCAGGGGCACTGGTGGACTGGCAAACCTTCGACACGTACGTCAGCGAAGCCAACAGCCGACGTCTGGCCGACTTCATCGACCAAATACCGTCTGGAAAAATCGTGGCTCTAACAACCCAAGATGAGGCCTCTCGAAAACTGGAGACAACCGCCCGACAGAAGATCAGGGAGCTGGGAAGCGTTGAAGTGGGCTCATTGGGACACAGGTATATTACTACAGTCACAATGGTATCGACATAGCTAGGATTTGGCGCGTGGAATATAGTTTCTAAATGAAATTAATGTATTTTCTAACACATTTACACACCTGTTTTACCTTAGGCAGCCTTGGGTGTTTGTTGGAGTGAAGGGAGACCCTAGTCGTGCTGTTGAGCAGAGAATCCCATATGTCAGTGAGTACTGCTTTAAGATACTCTCTTGAATCCTGGTCAGTAGAAACGATATCGATTTCCTAAGTAATTGAGGTATTTTGTTACATAACAACAGTCACAATACTTGAATTTCGTGTTCATTCACAAGCGCTCTGCATCCTATTCCAGACAAACAGTCCACCGGCACCGCTTCCATCACAGGCAACTTTGATGCCTTCTTCGGCTCCTTCGATGTCACTACCACAAGCGAATGGCTGGGAGGTAAGAACACCTCAGAATGGTGGTTCGAGAGAACAATCTCTTTATTTGCTCCAGGACAAGTTCAATGTTTACTATAATTTTATGTTCTGATGCATCTCGAAAGACTTATAACGCATTTATTCTATGCCAGGACGATCCTCTTTCACCTTTTCGGTGGAGGGCGGAGGTGGTGAGTACATCATCAACCTGAAGGATGACGTGAGTTCCTGGCAGCCTGGGGACCACATCGTGCTGGCCAGCACGGACTACAACATGGAGCAGGCAGAGGAGTTCCAGCTGCTGCCGTGTCAGGAGTGCTCGGACCACCAGGTCAAAATCAGCGGTAAGGGATTCTACTTTACATTCTCACAACTATCTATAGTCTTGTGTATGTATTCATTCTCCTTACTTTCTTTCAGTATATGAGTGCATTCTATGCCAAACAATGGCTTGGCTGTGCTTGACTTCATAGGACAAATCAAGTACACACATTTCGGTGAGATCTCGGATGACGTAGACATGAGGGGAGAGGTTGGTCTGCTGACCAGGAACATCAAGTTCCAGGGGGAGGTAGAGGACAGCTGCTATGGGGACAACTTCTGTCAGTTCTTCGACTATGACACGTATGGAGGCCATGTCAAGGTACTTTTTGACTCACCATTTGGAGATATTAACTTAATGTTTTTATGCAAATAAAGTAATACTACGGGTCTTGCCCATACGGCACTGGCTCTCAACTTTGCTCCCTTTGCACCCCAAACAGGTTCTGCAAGGATTCAAAAACGTGCATCTGTCTGGCATTGAGTTCACCAAAATGGGCCAACAGGTCCAGGGCAGCTACCCTGTCCACTTTCACATGGCCGGAGACGTGGACGAGGTCGGAGGCTACAGCCGCCCAACGTACGTCCGAGAGCTGTCCATTCACCACTGCTTCTCCCGCTGTGTGACCATCCATGGGACCAATGGGCTGCTGGTTAGTCACTGGCATTTCTGCGTTACAAGCACTAGTGTTTGTGAGATGGCAATCATTCATGAGCCTGGTATTAAAAGGCGTCATATTGTATCTTGAGAGCACACGAAATGTCGCAACGTTTTTGGCCGACAGGCATCGCTCTTACGGACACAAAACTCTGTGGTATGTCCGCAGGTCCAAGACACCGTTGGGTACGACACACTTGGCCACTGCTATTTCATCGAGGACGGCGTGGAGCAGCGTAACGTTCTGGACCACAACTTGGGCCTGGTGACGCGGGCAGGCACGCTGCTGCCCACCGACAGGGACGACAACATGTGCCGGAGCATGAGGGACGCGGTCTACGGGGACTACGTTCCGGAGTTAGCCGACTGTCGGTGAGATGATGTTACAAGCCCATTATAATACAGGATGTTGTTTGAAATGTTGGATTTTGGAAAGTATTCAGGTATTCCTTGTAGATTTGGCAATTCTGTTGGTATATCATTTTTCTGATTTCTTACGATGTTGTAAAAGACTGGAACAGTTTTTTGAAGGTACACTTTGTTCTTGTGCTGTACTAAGGGCGGTGACCACTTTCTGGATCGCGCATCCGAATAACGTCCTCACCAACAACGCAGCCGCCGGATCTTTGGTATACATTCCTTCTCTCTTTTTCATATTTTGAGAAGCTATTGTATTGTATATTGTGACATGGAAACTTACCAATAATGTCTATAGCATACAGGAATCTGGTATATCTTCCACCGTGAGCCGACCGGCCCTTCGGCGGGCGCCCTTCCTAAGTTTCAAGCAGAACGGTCACCCTTAGGACGGTTCTACAACAACAGAGTGCACTCCAATGGAATAGTGAGTATCATGTAGGCTCTGCAAGATCCCCCCATAAAATGGTGTATAACTACGGTCCTTTTTCGGTTAACCTGAAACAGGCTTATTACAGCTCTCCTTTAACTGAACAGATGGCAATCCAGCAACATTGTTGAAGTTTTTTTTTGTTGTTTACCTAGGACGGATTTATGATTGACGAGGGAGTGAAGACTTCACAGGCATCAGCAAATGCACCAGAGGAGTTTCTATCCCGAACCGGTGGACGGTACTGATATTTGTTTTTATTTCTAATTCTTTCTAACATTTATATTGTATTTCACATCCGTGTTGTCAGGGCGTATTAAATGTATAAAATAAATCTAAATAGCTTGTTTGACCCATCGTTGGACTGCCATTCTAATCGACACAAAATTGATGTTTGCAGGTACAAGCCTCACCAGAACTCCGACCTCTCCCAGCCACGCGTGCCAGCAATGATCGAGGGTCTCATCGCCTTCAAGAACTGGGATCAGGGAGCCTGGGTCCGAGGGGGCGACATCTGGTTCAACAAATGCGCCTTTGTGGACAACGGAAAGGGACTGACAATGGCCAGGTACCATATCCATATGTTGCTCTACGTTTACCCAGACAATATGCATGGGGATGTGTTGATGTCGTCTCTCGCAATCAGCTCTTCCCAAATCTTACGTACGTAATCAGCCATTATCCAATGGCTTTTTCAGTACATGGTCTGATTTTTCTACTGATGCCGTTATTGACTTGTATTTGTTCTATAGTGAAGGCACGTTCCCTAACGATGTAGGGTCGAGCCAGCAAGTCCGGAACAGCATCTTTATCGGGGAGAGTGAGAACGTGGGCACGGCCAGCGGGTCCAGCGTCTGGGGCATGGGAGGCGTCAAACCGGTCGCGAGGAGCCTGCCTCACGCCACGTGAGTAACAATTTGTTTCAATTTCAATACCAACTTTTATTATATGACACCACAACTGATTATGCATGGGACGAAACGCGCACCATGATGAACTATTAAATATGTACAGTCACACATTATTACTGAAACTCGACATTACATGACTCCAGAAAACGTCTCTAAGATAAGACGTAATTTCTTCTTGAATCGTAGAACCTTCCCGATACGAGGACTAGAAATCTACGACGGCCCCACCATAGCCGAAAGCTGCACCTTCAAAAAGTTCGCCTCGGCCCCGGAGTATGACCGCTGGAGCAGCGCGATCGGATACCTCCTGGGAAACAACTGGCAAATGACACCAAACAACAACGTCACGGGGGCAAAGTTTGAGGATGTGAGAGGATCGAGTTTGTTGTGTTGAGATAGATAGATGGATAGATAGATGTTGTATTATAGTTGAAGGTCAAAGTTGAAGCTACCAATTCAACCATATTCTTATACAAGGAAAGAATTAGACACTAGTAATACGATAATATTGCCTTATTGCCATTTTTGCCACATCTTCTCGGCGTGCTGTGGGTGGGTTTATAATTAATATGGCATATGGCCTCTCTATGTAGAAGTATCAAGGAAAACCCAGTGCGTTCGTCCTGATATGGTATAGAATCACTTTGTATAACAAACGTCTTTACTTGGCGAAGGTATGTGTTCCCAGAACTCTAGTTTTGCGGATTGTACATGACATACCTGTTAGGGCATTAGGGCTTTAACCCACACACTGTGGCACATATAAAGCTTATCCACCACTTTTTCCCGCTTCGTTGAAGGTTAGTTTTGTATTCTCTTCTATCTCTAGGTCCAGACTCGCGTGTTTCATGGAGGTAAGAACCTGCCCTGGTTTGGTACGTATGAGAAGGACGGAGATAAGGAACAGATCACGCACGACATGGACGGCAGTATCACGGGCTATCCCGACACCTACATAGTCGGGCAGGACAACTACCTGGTCAGGAACCCGGGATGTCTGGCGAAGCCGGAGTGGCGAGCCTTCGTCTGCAGCGGCAAGTATGCGCAGGTAGGCATGCAAGCACACCTCAGCCATTGCACTAGATGGTGAACAAATGCCATTCCCAGCGAGGACAAACAAACACATATTTCTAATCAATGCTAATCAATGGCAATTGATAAGTGGTAAATATCATTAGGACCCAACTTTTATCTTACCTGTACTAATTTGCACTTGAGGCTTGATAAGGTCATATTTAATCCTTTTAGCGTTTTGTTGCTTCTTCCCCATACCAATCGGACATCGTCTAAATCAGCAACTATTTTTTCGGTATTTTCTTTAATCGTTTTCTAAAGTTTGGTGTCCACAAAATGTATCTGGGTAAACATTCTTACGGGCAACACGTGTCTTACCTGTGCACAGCTGTATATCAGGGCCAAGCACCCAAACACCCTCCGGATGTCTCTGGTCCGTGACGAGTATCCTGACCAGCCGCTGACACTGAAGGGGCCCCTGAAGCAGGGTCCTAACGGTTTCCAACAGTACCAGCCCACGGTTATGCTGGAGAAGTCCTACACCGTCCACTGGAATGGGCGGGCTCCGGAACAAGTCACCGTCTACCCCATCAACTTCAACAGGTAGTACAGTCGAAGAGCAGTTTTAGTAGGAAGCAGATCACCTCCTTGTCAGATTAAACTGGTTATAGTTACTGGTTATATAACTGGTGATAGTAGTACCAGGTCTTGTTTTACCATACCATAGAAAATGCGTCAGGTTTGATCCAGCCTGATCATAAAACAGCGGCTCAATTGAAGAACAGTAATCTAAATTGTGTAAAAGAAATGTTTTGTTCTTGCATCTCGTTGAATTTTCTATATTTTTGATATTCACCTCACAGTGGACACTGGCTCCGGCTAGGTCTCTGCTACCCGCGGGGAACCATCTTCCGGGTGCAGTACCAGCTGGAGAGGCGCTTCCCGTACCGCATCATGCACGACGAGGAGATCCACCCCGTCTCCAGCCTGGCCGCTGTGGAGCGGGGAGACGGAAAGATGTTCTACTTTGAGGAAAGCACTGGGTAAGTAAAACCTTAGTGAAAATTTTAATCATTTTGGAAATTGATAGAAAAACATTAGATTAAAGCCCTAAAAAGATTGTCGTCTCTTAATTGAATGTTTCCTTCCAGTCTGTTCTTCCTGAAAGTCCACGCTAACTACGATCGGGAAGGCCACGACTACTGTTCACACATGGGCTGTGAGAGGATCATCATCACGGCCACCATGACAAGTGACGCGGTCAGCGACTGTACAGCAGCCGCTTATCCCAAGTACAGCCTGACGCCGACAGAGACTGTCCCCATGCCGAACTTCCTGAGTCTGGTCAACGACTGTACAGGATGTGGTGCTCCGGTGAGTGTTAACGTTATAGAAATGTTAAATATACATCATTTCTGTATCATTAATGCTTCAGATTTACAAAAACAAGACAAGTTAAGTATGTTGACTAGCAGAATTTTTAGCCGAACTCAGGTCAGACTCATACACTACTTCCATCGCGTGAACTTATGAACATGTGACTGTAGTCAGAGCTCTCTCGTCCCTACAGCATGAATCTGACAATACATTCCTAGAACGATTTCTATAGGATATAAACAAAACATTGTCATTCCATTTTTTATTTGTGCAGAGACTAACGGTTAATTTTTGTAGGAGCCAATCGTCAGTGACGGCAACCTGAAATATCTGGAAGTGTCCGTTCAGTCTTCAGGCCATGCGGAACTACAGCTGCTTCACAGGCCCTTTATAGAGGTAGATTTCTCTATATGACTTATGCTAACATGTAACTTGAGGTTTTCAGAAATAATACAAAATGTGACTTCAGACACGAAGAGGGTCTCGCTAATTTCATCATGTGGAGTATAACCATTTCAAAATAGATGTCCTCTGATATACGTGAAGAGTATATTCTTTCATGAGTTTAACATTAACATACAGCACTAACCAATTATACGAACGGTTGTGAGATGCTTAACCTCTTCTTTCAGATAGATGGAGTCCGGTACACGGCTCACCAACGTGGTTACTTCGTCATGAGTGTTGACGCCCTCACCGGTGTCGTGACGCACCGTATGACGTTCGACACCTACGGACAACCTGAAGCTGATGCCGCCATGGCGAGCTTCATTCGAACCGTTATCCCACAGAAGTAAGCGTTAACACGAATTGCATTAAGGGTTTTGTTAGAATCAAATGAAGCTGGCATAACATGTCCCATGGACACCATATACCTCACATGAACCATCATTATACTTCCAGGTAAGGAATTATTGGCTTGGGTGGCTGAGCTGTGGGTTTGTGTGTCTGTTTCTCCGGACAACATCACATGGGTGTGAGGGGGGTGATTGGTAGTCAGAATCAAAGAAGAGATCAAACGTCTCCAAATCTGGCCTGGAGCCAGCAGAACCTCAGGAAGCCGAAAATGTCTTATTACTTGTTTTACTTTGAAATGTCCCCTCACGATTAACCTGCTGGCTTTGTTTAGCTCCATCGTCCTTGTGTCGGTACGTGACGCAGCACACACGCATGCCTCGGAGTGTCTGACCGCGCTGAAGGAGATCGGAGCTCAGGAGCCCGTTCAGACCGTGTTCAGAGGTGGGTTGTCTTTGCTTTATTTATTTTTTTATTATATATCTAAGAGACAAGCTCACAAGCTCCAGGTGACAGGTATAGGTACCCTGTCTGATTCCCCTCTGTTGACTGTTCCAGGCAATTTCGCCATGGTTGGGTTCAAGGGCACCGTGTGGCCCACCTGGGTCCAGCAAGTCAACCTGCCGTCCGGTCAGGGTCCGGCACAGATCTACACCAAGATCCCGCTCATGGGCTGAGTCATGGTCTGATGAAGGACGCGAGTCTTTCGAAATCACCAATAAATAGTTAATTGGTGTAAAGGTGTCTGGCATCGCTTTGTCTCATTACTACGAGTGTTTTCTCCAATTGATTGATTGAAACCAAGTTATGACTAGCTATTGCAAATATTTATATTCGAAGTGTCTAAGCGCTGTTTAGGTACGCCCAGCAGGCGTTAACGTTATAGACAAATATAGACATGTATTGTGTATTCAACGATAGTGGGGTACGGATATTGTGTTTTGACTGTACGTGTAAAACACCATACATTACGTATGCAGATTAGGACACATTTTTAATAATAAATGGAACTATAATTAGCAACGGTATGAGCTCGTGGTACTTTATGATCTAAGTAGTTGTGAGCTTAAATAAAATTACTTCGTGTCATCCCACAGTAACCTTTTACACACACCTGGATTCATTCACATGACCTTTCGCCTATCAACAGTTTACATTACTTAAGTGACACCTAATGATGTTTTACACTAAACACCCGATATCCATATCCTTCCACTATCTTAGAATACACAACAAATGTCTATATTTGTCTTTAAAGACAACATACAGGCGTATTTATGTTCATCTCAGTGACATTACCTGCAATGATAATTGTTGTCCTTGTACAAATTGTACTAAAATATCTGCAATAATGACCACTGCAAAGCTAACTTTTCTACTGCGATAATTTGTGCCAATTTGACGTAATGATATGAAGAATAATACGATTCTAACAATACTGTCCATATACATTAACAATACTAAGCATGAAGTAATATAGTATTACATGTATACATTTCACTTTATTGCCACAAGTTGACACAAGGCCCAAAATGGACATACCCACAGCTCCTCAATCAGCACATCTTTATCATAACATAACATCGCCCTGCACGACGTGCACAAACACGGTAAGTAGTCTGTCCACCGGGGCACGTCCTCTTCTTATCATAAGCAAACGACGTGTATGTGGGTTACATGTAGCTGTGGCATAGTATAAATGGTGTGTTACTAGAGAAAGGTCACTTGATTGTAATTCGGCGACAGACAAAGCTGTGCTCATCGCGCAGGATGTCAACACTCGGCCTTCAGCTCATCTTACTGGGCCTGCTCGCTGCTCACCCATCGCTGAGTACAGGTAGTTACTTTTCATACGTTCACGTAACATCCTAGCCAAACGTCGATCAATGATACGAGTACATACAGACAGCATTCTTTATCATGATTTACATAAAACGATGTAACGTTAACATCCAATGGTATTGAGATTGTTTAGTTTACATAGGTCTACTTACAGCTACATTGTCGGAATTTTCTACCAGTCGATCTGTCATTGTTGTAAGTACAAATCAGTAAATTAAACGGCACGGGTGGGAACTTCACCAGATGCAGAGCAGGCTATCATCATTAATGTTTGTTTGAGGTTACTAGTAAGCTGTTTATAGTAATTTGATATAGATTCTACATGACAGGGAACTATATCTTATAAATTATAACAGTTGTAGGAAAATGCAGACTGCCGCCGCAATTTTGCACAGAACAAACAATATTTTCTTGCGCCAATTGTTTAGGTGAGAACAATGGATTTACGAACCTAGCGTTGTACAAGACTGCCTACCAGAGCAGCGAGACTTGGAACGGCTCTCCCGGGCGAGCTGTGGACGGCGGCCGCAGTGGGTCCTACGGCGATGGTTCCTGCACACACACCGACACAGAGGACAACCCGTGGTGGTACGTCGATCTGGGACGGACGCAGGAGGTCGACCACATCACCGTCTTCAACCGACAGGACTGCTGCTGGGACAGGATCACCCCATTTAACGTGTACATCGGAGACAACAGCAATGTGACGGCGAACCCCAAACTTGTTGGAGAGTTCAGCTTCCCGGCAGGACAAGCCGACAAAACCATCCAGGTTGGCGGGATGAAGGGGCGGTACGTGGGGATCAGCTTACCTGGCAGCAACCGGGTTCTCACTCTGTGTGAAGTGGAGGTTTATGGAGGTAGGGTTGTGTTGTAGTTTTCCCCGAATCGTTAACAGAACAGCTCCATACGTATGCAGCATTTACATTTTTTACGGTTCATATGAATGACAAAACCCGCACATTATATAAAGATACGTTTCTAAACTTTTCTAAACTATAGTATGGACATGCCCGGATGTTGACCCTACGACGTCCCCCTGGAATGGCGGCCATCAGTGCCCGGATCTAGACCACACGCTGACCCCATGGAACCCTGGGCACGACGCTACGGCGCAGGTGGTTGTGGGTAGAGGACAGAACTACCTGCTCCAATCATCTGCCACGTTTTACTCGTTGGAGATCAGAGATGGAGGTACGGCAATATTTTTTGTCAGGGAAAATGACACAAAACTAACAAGTTTAGCAAGTATCTAATGATGACTACGTTGAAATGTTGATTTCAGAAAAATGAACAATAGTCGCAATGATTCCAAACCCTGCTGATAATCTAATCTGCTATATCATGTACCACTGGTTACAGGGCGTGTTGTATTCGCTGACTTTGGCTCCGCAAGTGACACTGAGATTGTCCTGAGGGCCCGTGATGTAACGGTGGGAGACGGCGGAGAGTTCCACATCGGCAGTGAGACCTGCCCGTACCAGGGGAAGGCCACGGTGTCCCTGTACGGCCGCTCGGATGAGAACGTCAACAGCACCAAACAGTTCCTGGTGGCGGCAGGAGGGACTCTGGAGGTCCACGGGCAACACAAGGTGGCGTGGACACAGCTCACGCAGACAGTGCCAGAAGGGGGCCTTCCTAAGGTAAGCCTCCATTAGTGCAGGAAAGGTACGCCTCTCTTCCATTTGCCTCTCTCTCAGCCTTCCTTACCCTTTTTCTCAATACAATATCGTCAGTTGACGAGCCTTTCAAGATAGGTGTCTGTTGTGAAACAGGGTGCGTATTCGTGGGATTCGGCTATCCATGGTTGGCGTCGTGGCATCAACGTTCGCGTCATTGACGAGGTATCGGCGGCTGTGGTGGACTCGGCCAACTTCGACACGTGGATCAGCGAAGACCACAGCCGAAACTTGGCGACCTTCCTCGACCAGATTCCCACAGGCAGAATCGTGGCAGTGGCAGTGCAGGACGAAGCAGCCAGCAACCTAGAGGACTCCGCCATACAGAGGCTCAAGGATCTTGGCAGCGTGGAAGTTGACTCATTGAAGTGGAGGTAATCAAACATTCAAACAAAATCAGGCTTGAGCTTCTCATGCTACTAAAGAAATGTAAAATATGCGTGCTGCGCTCTTGCACAATTTGCTGCATCAAATAACGTTAATTTGTAAGATAAAATAAAGAGTCTGTGTTTCAGAGAACCGTGGACACTGATAGCAGTCAAGGGATATCCAAGCACTGCTGTGGAACAGAGGATCCCATATACAGGTAAAACTTGTTTCAAAAATATTACTCCAGACCCTGACCCTGAATGTAGTATGAATTCCTTCTAACAAGGCTGCCGATGACATGTTTGTGTTTTGTCGTTCAGACTCCCAGAGCACAGGCACGGCAACTGTAACGGTCACCTTCAACGGTTTTTTCGGGGATTTTGACGTCGTCGTCAGCAGTGAATGGTTGGGAGGTACAAGTTTTTTTTTTCTTACTCGTCGCCAGTAAACAGTGCATGCTTTTGCAATACTGATACATCATGAAATATTGTTATGAAGCTTTTACATTCGACCAAGTCCAACACCGTTTGTCATTTGGCTCCAGGTTCAGCGCGATGCACGTTTTCTGTGGGTCGCCACGCCGATGAGTACATCATCAACCTGAAGGATGACGTGAGTTCCTGGCAGCCTGGGGACCACATCGTGCTGGCCAGCACGGACTACAACATGGAGCAGGCAGAGGAGTTCCAGCTGCTGCCGTGTCAGGAGTGCTCCGACCACCAGGTCAAAATCAGCGGTAAGAAACCGTCGTTTTAGTCTTTACGAAAAATTCCTCTCTCGTAAACGCGTATTATTAATTTGTCTTAAATCATACCAATATGTTCCTTTTCGTATAGGTGAAATCGTCTACATGCACTTCGGTGAGATCTCGGATGAAGTAGACTTGCGGGGAGAGGTTGGTCTGCTGACCAGGAACATCAAGTTCCAGGGGGAGGTAGAGGACAGCTGCTATGGCGACAACTTCTGTCAGTTCTTCGACTTTGACACATATGGAGGACATTTGAAGGTCAGCTTCAATATTTCACGAATGATCGCAATGCGTTTTTATTTCTGTTGTTTAAGACAAAGGGGTCAGGGTTTAGAAGACCCCAAAAGTCCTCATGCATGATCATTATAAACCTTGAATCCCGTTCATACACAAAGAAGTATTCTAAATAAATTAACTGCCTTTTTTTACAGGTTCTGAAAGATTTCAAGAACGTTCACCTGTCCGGTATCGAGTTCACCCGCATGGGTCAGCAGATTTTGGGCAGGTATCCTGTCCACTTCCACATGGCCGGGGACGTGGACGGAGTGGGGTGCTACAGCCGCCCAACGTACGTCCGAGAGCTGTCCATTCACCATGTCTTCGCCCGCTGTGTGACCATCCATGGGACCAACGGGCTACTGGTCGGTCTTCTTCCATTTGTAATGAACCCTTCGTATGACGATTATGTCAGTGGCAATGTTAGATATTCCAAAGAATGACCTTCCAGCTCGTACGTAGTTTTACAAATTAACCTAGCTATCGTTGAGAAAAGCAAATTTACATGATCACTAACGAGGTGACAAATATAAATCTTCTTTTTTATTAGGTCCAAGACACAGTCGGTTATGATACCCTCGAATATAAATCTTCTTTTTCATTAGGTCCAAGACACAGTCGGTTATGAGACCCTCGGCCACTGCTATTTCCTTGAAGATGGAGCAGAACAACGCAACGTCCTGGACCACAACCTCGGCCTGTCGACCCGATACGGCACCTTGCTGCCCACCGACAGGAACGGGCAAATGTGCCGGAACATACTGGATGGGGTGTACGGCGACTACGTTCCCAACGCTGGAAAGGACTGCTTGTAAGAAAGTTTTGTGTTGATATGAAGATCACTACAATGGAGGAATTATCACGAAAAAACTCATTTCCAAGATCAATGTTTGGCTGTGTATATCAAGATGTCTTTATTAATTTGCAATAAACTTATCATTATAAAATAGTGGTTCAGTGATACAAAATATTTCTACGTTCCTCTTCATTCAGGATGTTAACGACGTTCTGGATCTCCCATCCCAACAACGACCTCATCAACAATGCCGCTGCCGGTTCCCTGGTAAGTTTTAAATCTCCGCAATTTCGTAGCGAGCATACAGTTACACTGGTTATAACATTACTTTATGCAAACTTAAGACATGTTACTCAAGCAGTGGATATATGTGGCAGATTACCTATGACGCCCCCGTCTCAATGGTGTCGAAACGTCACATTACCCTTCGTCTCAGTCATCACGATCCCAGTCTAACATGCCTTGGTTATATACTGATTTTAGAATCTCAGCTTACTGTTGAAAAATATACATGCCATGTGTGGTTGTATGCATGCACAGGGCGTCGGTATCTGGTACCTCTTCCACCGAGAGCCTACAGGTTTGTCAGAGGGATCACTCCCCCCTTACCAGTCATCGTACTCCCCTATGGGACGGTTCTACAACAACAGAGCACACTCTAATTCACAGGCAAGCTGTGCTGTATATCTTTGCATGACCAACTGCTGCTTTAGCTTTAATGTGTTTCACAATTACATATAGTTTTACAAATTTAGGCTGCTCCGTTAACTTTAGATCAAACGTAATTCAAACTAAGCGAGCATGTAAATGTCATATACTATTCCAACACGATTATGTGTCATTCCAGGGGATGATGATAGAAGCAGGGGTGAAGACCACGCCAGCAACGGCATCCTCACCGTCCGAGTTCCTGTCCAAGTCCGGTGGAAGGTAACCATCTTTGGGGGTTGCTTAATGAATTTGTCCGTCGTCGAATTTATCACACGATGTAGAACTGCTACCTGCTGCTACCTAAAACTTAATCCTGCTTTCGTGTAAACTGGTTCCTAAAACATGTAAACATCTTTATTCTGGTCATCTAAGGCGTTTGTTTGTGTTGATGCGACCATTCGTCCAGTGGTCGCCATAATATAGTTTTTAGGCTTAGCACGCTGTACTGTCTCTTTTTACTTACTTTCACGTAAACAAGCGATAACGATATGTGCATGTCACATAGGTACAAACCTCACCGGAACTCGGACCTGCTGCAGCCCCGTGTGCCGGCCATGCTGGTGGGGTACCTCGCCTCCAAGAACCGCGGATGGGGCGCGTGGATCCGCGGAGGGGACATCTGGTTCGACAAGAGCGCGTAGGTGACACCGTTATATATTCATAACGTCTGAGATTGTTATGTGCCCACGTTCTTTGTTTTGATAAAGGTGGATTTGTCGTTATGAGAATAAGTATGTGTAGTATAAGATTCAGAATGACATCAGATTGCTTTTTTTGTTTTGTTTTCAAGGTTTGTTGACAACGCAGTAGGACTAGTGATGGCAAGGTAAGTCATTGAGAAATAGACAAACCATTCAAGTAATATAACGAATATAAGGATGCTAGGACTGGGATAGAGAAGTAGTAGATTGCAAAACTATCACTATAGAGATGACACCACAACCATTAGCAATTTATGTCTTTCCTATAGCCGGGAACATTCTAGTAATAGAATCATCAGATTTTACATCCATGTGTCCTACATGTATTGGGACCTAGCAATGAATACCACGCCTACTTTCTGTCTACTTCAGCGAAGGAATATTCCCTAACGACGAAGGATCGAGCCAGCAGATCTGGAACAGCATCTTCATCGGCGAGAGTGAGAACGTGGGCACGAAAACTGGATCCAGGGCCTGGGGGATGGGCGGGGTGAAGCCGGTGGAGAGGACGTGGCCTAGCTCTACGTGAGTGTACATGTGCACATTGCGTCTGCATCTGTGTTGCTGTTTCCAGGCTAGTCTGGCAGTATACTTTCTGATAAGCAGTGGAGGAGTCTTTACAATCAATATATACCATTGGATGTTAGTTAATACGCACAGTGCATCGACATATCATATTTTGTACTGTAACTTTTTCATGCAACATTTACAACACGCCAGTCAGTAGATCATTCATATAATGTCTACCTGATATGACAGACGGTCACTGTAATGTCAAAACACACATGGTAACGGCGTTAACTTACTTGCAGAGAGAACAACCTGCGAGGTCTGGATGTGTACGATGGCCCCATCTTTGCAGACAGCTGTACTTTCAGGCGGTATGCCAAAGTACCGGAGGCCAATCGGTACAGCAGCGCTGTAGGCTTCCACACCTGGAATGGCTGGCAAAACACGCCGAAGAACAACATTACACGGTCAAAGTTTGAAAATGTAGGTACAATTTTGGTCATCTGAATTGTGTGCAATATATAATTTCTATGTTCTACACCTTACTGGTTCTACACCTTCCGCTTAATTTTCCTCAGGTTCAAAGTCGCATGTTCCTGGGCGCGGCAGGCTTACCAGGTTTCGGACAGAACAACAGAGACGGCGACAAGACCAACATTCTACACGACCTGGACGGCAGCATGACCGGCTACCCGGACAGCTACATAGTCGGGCCGGACAACTACCTGGTCAGGAACCCGGGATGTGTGGAGAAGCCGGACTGGCTGGGCTACGTCTGTACGGGAGAATATGCATCGGTTAGTACAACTGCGATCCATCATGGGAACTGACATGATATGCAGTAACATGTCATGCCATGACAGTGACATCTATGTAGGTAATAGATAAACGATTGCCACTACATTCGCTGTTCATAACATCTGGTGACACCTGTGAATGTTCACTACATCAGGTTGATGATACCATGTATAACAAAGCAGACAAGTGATATTTACCTGCCGATGTTATTGTAGTCTTTCCGCTACCTTCCTCAAACGAATATTGAATAGTCGTACATCGCACGTTTGGGACTGCATCCTTCCAGCTGCAGAGGAACTTAGTTGCAGTGGGAACCATTCAGTATTGCCCAGATGAAGGTAGCCGAAATTACCAAGCTTTGGCAGGTCAGTATCTCTTGGCTATGTGGAAAGAACGATCTGATGACACCTGTACCTCTCCTGTGCACAGTTGTTCATCCATCCCAACCATGCAAATAACCAGATGTCGATGTACCGTGACGAGTATCCGGACATCCCGGTTACACTGAAAAGCCCCGGGAAGACGGCTTACTACATGCCGGTGGTGATGCTGGACAAGTCCTACACCGTCCACTGGAACGGGCCGGCTCCGGATCAGCTAACCATCTACCCAATTAACTTTGACAGGTTGGACTGTCTTTGTTTTCATAAGCAAACAAAAACTTTTTGTATCAATGTTAACACCGAGACTTAGTCCTTTATTTTACTTTGCTTCAAAAATTAAGAATAGACGTCGCTCCAGGGACGCAAGGACGGTCTCCTGTGTTTTGAACTGCCAACGATGTGTTGATACCTACGTACGTGGAACTAGGTGCTTGAATATTATTTTTTCAGTGGCGACTGGGTCCGCGTGGGTTTCTGCTACCCACCAGGAACCACCTTCCAGGTGACGTACCAACTCGAGAGTCGCGTCCCGTCCGCCATCATGCACGACGAGGCCGTCAGTTCGGCGTCAAGCCTGGCTGAGATAGACGCCAGCAGCGATGGCAAACTCTTCTACTTTGAAGAGAGCACAGGGTAAGTAAGAGAACACCATCTTTGAAATTCTTGAGCTGCGTCATGCAGTCTTTCAACGTAGATGGCCACGTTACCTGGCGATGTGTTTGCTTAAATTTGTATGGTTTTATATTATCAAATTGCATTTATGTATCTTTTTGTGTACTATTGAACATAGCGTAACTTTTTAAAACTTCATTACATGTTGTTGCGACAATGAAGTTGTACTTGTGCTGTGATAAACTTTTTAGACTGTTGTTCCTGAAAGTTCGCGCTAACTACGACCGGGAAGGCCATACGTACTGTTCACACATGGGCTGTGAGAGGATCACCATCTCGGCCACCATGACAAGTGACGCGGTCAGCGACTGTACAGCAGCCGCTTATCCCAAGTACAGCCTGACGCCGACAGAGACTGTCCCCATGCCGAGCTTCCTGAGTCTGGCCAACGATTGCACAGGCTGTGGTGCTCCGGTGAGTATACAAGACGAAACAAATTGATCGGAAGTAACATACATTTTCAAACTTTATTGTGAGTGCATCAGACTTCTATCTGACCACATGAATGGACTTATTCAAGTTGCACTCTTTGCTAGAAACCGTACAAATAAATAAAATATCATTTCTAAATTTTCTTAAAGATGTTTACTTCTTCCCATTTTGTGCAGGAACCGATAGTATTTGATGAGGGTAAGAAGTTCGTTGAGGTGACGGTGGTGTCAGCGGGGCCTCAGGAGGCACATGGCCACGGATCCTTCATCCAGGTGTGACTCAGTCATTAATCTTGACTATTAGCGATTCGACAATCAGTTCTAATTAGCGTAACATATCTACTAATATCTACAGTGTTTGTTGTGTGCATAACGCGTACCTGTAACGCGACTACTTCTCGTCCCATATTGCATAGTCTTTGGCACGGTAGATTAAAACGTTTATTGTTATATTTCAATAGATACGTTGTACCTAGTACAAATGTGCAAATAAGTTGATGCTTATATTTACCACACAGATAGATGGAGTTCAGTTTGATAACCATCACCACGGCCACCTGGTCCTCAGTGTTGACGCCCTGTCCGGCTCCGTCACACATGAGATGGCGTTCCACTCCGGCGCCGAGCAGGCTATGGCCAGCTACATACGTCACATCATCCCGCAAAAGTAGAGATTTATATCATATTCATACCTTATCCCTATTCTTCATAGTTGTTCATGTGCGTGGATATTGATGTTTCGTAGATATAATTTTAGAATTCAAAATACTAAGAAAAACAGAGTCGCGCGATTTTTATTGACATCCCTAGATGATATTCTAATACACTAACCCCAAAACAAAAATCTCACAAACCCTCCCCATCCTTCCAGCTCCATAGTCCTGGTGACAGCGGCAGACGCGTCGGGTCTTCACGTGCAGGAATGTCTGTCAGCTCTGAAAGAGATCGGAGCACAGGACCTCGATAACGTGGGCGTGGGAGGTGAGAGGTTCTCGTCGTCTCTTCTCACAAAAAGCTGTTTATTATACAAATTATAATGATAGTATCGATGGGGAGTTGTATTGCATCAATACTTTAATTATAAATGGTGGTTAAGATGGTGACTTTTTTTTACTTATTAGTAACTTAGTAATTCATCTGTTTACCAATGTATTGCAGGAACTTTCTCCATGGTTGGGTTTAAGGGGACCTTTTGGCCCACCTGGGTCCAGCAAGTCAACCTGCCGTCCGGTCAGGGTCCGGCACAGATCTACACCAAGATCCCGCTCATGGGCTGACACTGACTCCTGTGAAGTGTAAAGGAGTACCAAATATGTAGGATCCTCCAATTAAATGTGTATTAAAAGCTTTGGTGTTCTGTATTCTGTGTCAGACAGCCCGCTGTTAGATATAAGAAAAAAATAAAATGATTTGCAGTGATAAATCTGTAAGCTGTAGGCAAAAGAAAACGCAATTCCTTCCTTGTGTTAATATCAATCTGAATGGTTCTAACCTTGGAAGTGACAGAGTACCTATACATAAAGCCTGCCCGAATCGCCTCCATCGTTTTGCCATCGTTATCATTTTAATACAGTCGACAACTCAAGGACAGACATGCTTAATCTATTCAAGCAAGTAAGATAACCGTGGATAGGGACACATGTGTCCTGTTTTCACGTGTCTGTGTTGGGTGGTATCTCAACATCTCAGTCCCTTGTGAATCTGTGACTTTTGTTTCATTTATTCGTTCATCAACTTGTACATCGAACGAAATGTAAAACATGGAATCAGTTATTTACAAAAATAACGAATATTTACAAAAATGACGAAATAGGTTGGATGTACGGTTGTCCTTCCCAACCGCCCGATAGCTCGTTAAACCTGTAGGTAAACATTTGTTCAGCCTTACTTATTCCGCACATTTTAATCACTGTCACTTCCGAAAGTAAGCAAGGCCTGCGTATTTTTGTGTGGGGACGAGAGTATTTAAGAGTCCAGGTCAGACGGGCCTCGGGCGTTTAAAGTCCTCGACGTCGACATTTGGAGACGATTGTTTGACGATGGCTACTTTCGCACTCCCAGTCTTGTTGCTGCTTCTTCCTGCTCTTATTTTGTCACAGGACACAGGTAAGACAGTTCCGTTTTCGCACCATGCATACGGGTGTTCATCAGTCTTATAACCCAGTCTTATAACCAGTACAGAATCGCCCACATCTTTGGTTTGCGCATGCGATGCAAAGTACAGTATTGCGTAGTAGAATATATGTAGTAGAATATATGTAGTAGAATATATGTAGTAGAATACATTGTAAGTACTTTAAGGTGGGTTTGTACGTTCTTTATTTTTAACTTGATATATGCAAATTATCATGAGAACTTAAGCAGCTGCTAAAGCTTTGACCAGGAGTAAGCTCTTTTCTGTATGGAGATATTTTGCCGCAGTATATTACACCTATAAAGTCAAGATATTATGTGGGCTTTGATGTCTGGTGTATTCATACAAATTTATCTGGGAATGATTGTAACGGTATAGTCTAAATAATTGCGTTCTGGAGTGAATATCGTCTTAAGATTCAACCAAGATACAGCAGTCCGCGTTCTTTACTCAGTCTCAGGGTGCCCGGATGTTGACCCAACCTTGACCCCGTGGAACCCTGGGCATGACCCCACCGCGCAGGTGGTTGTGGGTAGAGGACAGAACTACCTGCTCCAATCATCTGCCACGTTTTACTCACTCAACATCAAAGACGGAGGTACGTAGTCTAACGTGCACTTATAAAAATAATGTTGCTAAGGGTTTGCAACGTTCAACGTTCTTTGTATGCCAGTTTGCACATGCAGTTTGAGAGTATTTAATGTTGCGTAAAAATGCAGAGGAACTGCATACCATGGTACGTCACAACGGATACTTATGGGTTGGGCGTAAAAGGAAGAAAACCTCATCAGATTATAACAAAAAGTAACGTTGCCTATTCCTTAATTCTAAGTTCCGGAAAGGCATAAAAAGTTATAAAAGCATGTCTTCGTGTAGGGCAGTATGATACAACCTGATGTCTGTGGGCAAAAAGAGAGTATTGCTATCACTACAGGACGAGTTGTGTTTGCTGACTTTGGTTCCGCAAGTTCTGACGAGATCGTCCTTCGGTCCCGTGAGGTCATCGTGGGGAACGATGGCGAGTTCCACATCGGCAGTGAGACCTGCCCGTACCAGGGGAAGGCCACGGTGTCCCTGTACGGCCGCAAGGACGACCAGAAGAACACCAAACAGGTCCTGGTGAGCGCAGGCGGGACTCTGGAGATCCACGGGCAACACAAGCTGGCGTGGACACAGCTCACACAGACAATTCCGGCAGGAGGGCTGCCTAAGGTAAATATGACAATTATGATAGCCTATAGAAGGTCAATGGATCAGCATCATCATCTTCGTTGATATGCCTTTGATATTCACTATTGCAGTATTGGAAATCATCTTGATACCCAGATCGAAGATTACTAATTGCAAGAATGGTCTAGCAAAACAAGTCATATGTCTAAGACAGATGCATCTGATTCAAACCAGGGATCGTACTTCTACACATCCGCCGGTAAGGGATGGGTCCGTGGCATCCACATTCGTGTCATCGACGAAATAACCGGGGCTGTGGTAGACTCCGCCAGGTTCGACACTTACGCCGACGAGGAGAACAGCCGAAGTTTGGCGGCGTTCATCGACCAGATACCTTCGGGTAAAATCGTGGCACTGGCGACATTTGACGAACCCTCCCGTCGTCTAGAGGACACGGCAAAGGAGAAGCTCAGAGAACTTGGAAGTGTAGAAGTGGATAACTTGGGACTCAGGTGAAGCATTCTAATTAAGACATACTGGTACATTAGTGACATTATACATGTAGCACCTTTGCACCAATTTACAGCTATTTACTTGTAATTGAATTTGGCCATGATCATGTCAATGTTTCAGGAATCCGTGGGTATTTATCAGTGTAAAGGGAGACCCCAGCGTTGCCGTTGAACAAAGACTCCCTTACATAGGTAAGACTGCTGCTGCTAATGGGAAGATGTTCTCCTCCTACTTTGATCTTTGATTTTTTGTTGTCGTTAAAACGTGGCTTTCCAGAACGTAAATAATTTTTTGGTGTCTTTCGTTCATGAAACAGACACCCAGACCACCGGTACCGCCACAGTCACTGCTGCCTTTGATGCCTTCTTTGGGTCCTTCAAAGTCGTCCTTACCAGTAAATGGTTGGCAGGTGAAGATATGTTTCATTCTTCATTTCCAGACCACTTCTAAATGCAGCATGCCTAAAGTCTATCATGTTGCGTTATCAATGTTAAACTACTAAACCGACAATCAATTACTTACTTACACAGAATGGCAATTATTCTAAAAATTACTAGTAGCTGATAGCAAGCATATTCGACAACGCTTCCGACCTGCGCTGCTTAAAATAGGTAAGTTTGTATTCACGATACACTTCTCTCCCATGCTGTTCCCCTACACAGGAGGAACAGAATGCACTTTTTCCATCGAATCAAATGTTGACGAATACGTCATCAACCTGAAGGATGACGTGAGTTCCTGGCAGCCTGGGGACCACATCGTGCTGGCCAGCACGGACTACAACATGGAGCAGGCAGAGGAGTTCCAGCTGCTGCCGTGTCAGGAGTGCTCAGACCACCAGGTCAAAATCAGCGGTAAGCTACGATCTTCCAATACATTTTGTGCTAAAGTAGCTAAAGGGACATATCGTATGGAGGAGATTGTCATTGAATGTCTCAAAGACATTGACCCTGGGTGGTAGAGGCAAATACAATATCATAGTACAAGATTCTCCTAGTTGTAAGTCTCAGCGTTTCTACTGCTGCGTCCACCGGCTTTGATGGTTAAACGGGTTCTTTCAAAACGTCGTAGGGAGGCACGAAAGGGAGTTGCATGGCTGACACATATAACTTGCCCATCAATCAGTTCACGAACAATAAGGCAACTGTCCACAGGTAAAATCGAGTACATGCACTTCGGTGAGATCTCGGATGACGTAGACATGCGGGGAGAGGTTGGTCTGCTGACCAGGAACATCAAGTTCCAGGGGGAGGTAGAGGACAGATGCTATGGGGACAACTACTGTCAGTTCTTCGACTTTGACACATATGGAGGGCATATCAAGGTTTGTTCCATGTTTGTTGTTTGTTGGACGGCATTTTGAAAGGAATATTTTTTGACAAATGAAAGGTTTAACTGGGATTGTACTCGAGGGAAGATGTAACTGTATCGGCAGGTTCTGGCAGGCTTCAAGAACGTGCACCTGTCCGGCATCGAGTTCACCAGAATGGGCCAACAGGTCCAGGGCAGCTACCCTGTCCACTTCCACATGGCCGGAGATGTGGACGAGGTCGGAGGCTACAGCCGCCCAACGTACGTCCGAGAGCTGTCCATTCACCACTGCTTCTCCCGCTGTGTGACCATCCATGGGACTCACGGGCTACTGGTTAGTCGTAAACGATAACGTATTAGCATGAAAACAAAAATGTCCTATATCTAAAGACAAAAAAGTCCAAAATGGATGTTGACACCATTATCTAGATCTAAGTCTATTACTATTGCAGCATTTTTACAGTGCAGAATACATGTGTCAGGCCAACAATGCCCTTTTATATGTGCAGGTCCAAGATACAGTTGGGTACGACACTCTCGGGCACTGTTACTTCTTGGAGGACGGCTGGGAGCAGCGTAACGTTCTGGACCACAACTTGGGCCTGGTGACCCGACCCGGCACCCTCCTGCCCAGCGACAGGGACACTAACATGTGCCGCTCCATGACAGACGGTGTGTACGGGGACTATGTTCCTCAGGCAGGGGACTGTAAGTAAGTGACAAAATCGATTAATACATAACCCTTAGCTTTGAACAACATTATCATCACTCATTTTATTGTGGTAATGCATATAGGTTTAATTTGATTTTTGCATTAATATCGTATTCCTCCTTTCCTCAGTGGTGCGTCCACGTTTTGGATCGCTCATCCGAATAATGACCTCCTCAACAACGCTGCTGCTGGCTCCCCGGTAACAAACTTCAGTAACTCAAACAGCCCTGTTCAAGACACTCTTTTGCTCATATCTTTCATTGAGGCTTTATTCAGTACAATGATATTGATGCTAAAACATTACTGTGTTTTTATTTGTAGGTCAATGGAATATGGTTCATCTTCCACCGAGAGCCTACGGGTCCTTCTGCCGGGGCTCTTCCCAGGTTTCAGGCGGAGCAAAGCCCGCTAGGACGGTTCTACAACAACAGGGTGCACTCCAATGGAAGAGTATGTATTGGGGGTGGACTGAAACTACTGCAGGGTAGTGCGGTGGGGAACCTTGTTGAAGGCGATAGGTTGTCATAATATGAACATTATTGGTTGCACATGATGACCTTTCAATAAAAATTATTCAAATTGAAACAAGACATCATGATGCACCACACTTTGCTGATTTTGTGCACTTTTATTTATCAAGCATATCATATTGTTCCCTTCCCTCCCAGGCTGGGTTGATGTTGGATGGCGGAGTGAAAACCACACAGGCCACCGCAAATTCGCCGAATGAGTTCCTGTCGCTAGGAGGGGCAAGGCAAGGATCTCTTCAGCTAAGCAAGTCACAAGAAACAAGTTATTCGCGTGTGCTGAAAATTGTTCAGGTTTTTATTTATGACAACTCAATGAGTTTCGAGGTGACGAAGAATTGACATGACGTAAATTGTCATGGACTGCCATTCCTATCATACATTCCAATAAAAAATACTTGATCTTTGCAGGTACAAACCTCACCAGAACGCCGACCTCTCCCAGCCACGCGTGCCGGCCATGATCGAGGGCCTCATCGCCTTCAAGAACTGGATCTGGGGCTCCTGGATCCGGGGTGGGGACATCTGGTTCGACAAATGCGCGTAGGTCCAAGTATCTACGTCATCCCCATTAGATGATTCGAAGGTCAGACAATGTATATTGATGTTTTCACCCAACAATTTCAGGAAGTTCATATACTGTGCATGATGTTCGAACATCTAGAGATAAAACAATAATGACATATCGTACTTATATAGATATGTATATATTGGACTTATAAAGGATATATACGAAGTGAAACCTTTGTGTTACTGTATGCATTATGCCCGATTGATTTTTTTTCAGTTTTGCGGACAACAGCATAGGACTTACCATGGCGAGGTACGGCACGCTTACTAGTATTTTTAAATGTGCACGTGCATGTGTAACACACACCTTAATATCATATGACTAAACACGTCGACTCTCTACACCGTACGCTCACTTTTATATACATCGGTAATTGCCCACAATGTTCATTTTATCAGAAGATCAAAAAGAAAATATTTTGATTTATATATTTCGTTGATACAGTGAAGGCGCCTTCCCTAACGACGAGGGATCGACCCAGCGGATCTGGAACAGCATCTTTATCGGCGAGAGTGAGAACGTGGGCACGGAACATGGGGCCAGGGTCTGGGGGATGGGCGGGGTCAAACCGGTCGAAAGGAGCCTGGTTCATAGCACGTGAGTCATCCAAAGTTTGTCGAATTATTATTAGATGTAGTTTTGGGGAATGGAGGACATCGGCACCGATTTTTATAACAAATTACTACCCTGAGGCATAGCTATCATACACCTCAGAATCGATCAATTGTCCTTTTTAACAGGAATTATCCAATGGTGGGGATAGACGTGTACGATGGTCCAATCTTAGCCGACAGCTGCACCTTCAAGAGATACGCCACAGCACCGGAGTACGACCGCTGGTCCAGTGCTATAGGGTTTCACAGAACCAACACTTGGCAAAATACTCCAACCAGTAACATCACAGGGGCCAAATTTGAAAATGTGAGTAGACGCCCCCGCACCCTACCTTTCCCGTGCGACCAACTGTATATACTAAAGTAACGTAAACGTCGTAACGTCTACATGTTTTCAAACCGTCTTGCCTCATCAACGTGGTTTATCGGCACAGACAACAGTCTTTTTCGGTTTGTGCGAAAGTCAGTTAAGGCCCAACTTTTGACCGGCTGACTTTCCTCAGGTTCAAAGCCGAGTGTTTCTCGGTGGACGGGGACTGCCGTATTTTGGTAACAACGACTTAGACGGCGACAAGACCAACATTCTCCACGACCTGGACGGCAGCACCACCGGCTACCCGGACAGCTACATAGTCGGGCCGGACAACTACCTGGTCAGGAACCCGGGATGTGTGGAGAAGCCGGAGTGGCACGGTGTCTTCTGCAGAGGGAAGTTTGCTCAGGTCTGTACTTCTCTTTTTCCGAATCCATTTTGTTGTCTACTTTGTTGTCTGATCTTAACTTCATCGAAGTTCCATACTAACAACAAGGGTAAGAACGACATACGTATACCATTGGTCTTGTCCTTCACACAGTTGTGGGTCCAAGCCAAACTTCCAAACAGCCTGGTTATGTCGCTAGTGCGTGACGAGTATCCGGACCATCCAATGACACTGAGAGGACCCCTATCTCAGGCTAACGTTTACCAACAGTACCAACCTGTGGTCACGCTGGACACCTCCTACACCATCCACTGGAACGGACGGGCTCCAGAACAGATCTTCCTCTACCCAGTGAACTTTAACAGGTGACCCCATTCATCAATACAGGAGTCAGTACCCTGAAATATTCACACAAAAGTGTATAACATCTACAGTACAGAACAGTAACTATCTCATACACACTAGTACCATGACCTGAAAACCTACAGTATACATGTAACGTTGCCATTTAAGATTATTGAGGAAAAATATCTGAGAATTACAAACATTCGACACAGAACAGCCATCACAAAACTCCGGATAAGTTCACACAAACTCCACATAGAAAAGGGAAGACACAACCACATTCCTCTACAGCAAAGGATCTGCCAATTTTGTAACCTAGATTATATTGAAGATGAATGCCATTTTGTAGTTGACTGCACATTATATAGAAATGAGAGGGATTCCCTCTATACTTATGTAATAGATAAGTTCCCAAGCTTTAGACATTTAGATAGAATAGAAAAATTCGAATTCCTCATGAAACTTGACAAACCATGTATAATTAGCTCAATATGTTCGTACATCTTTAACTGCGTAAAGAAGCGAGAAGAACCTGAACCTGTAAATAGTAGGACACATTAGTTTATATAGTATGTAAGTGTCATTACTGTTTTCTTTTCCCTGTCTACCCAAGACCTGTACTTAGCTCGTTAGAGCACAAGCGTACAATAAAGGTCTTTCATTCATTTATTCAAAATTGCAACATGACAATACAAAGTCTGCAATAGGCAGCAAGTATGAGATTAACAGATGCACTCCACACCTTTGATAAGAGAAGAGCCATAGGAGCGATGAGATGTTTTTATTGTCCCTCAATGATCTTTTTGTCTGAACGTTTAAAATGATATCTCCGTCCTTAACTTGTAGTGGCGACTGGGTCCGAGTGGGCCTCTGCTACCCACCAGGCACCACATTCCGGGTGAAGTACCAGCTCCATCAGTACCGAACACCCTGGGTCACGCTGCAGGCCGAAGATGCCCACCCCGCGCACAGCCTGGCCGCTGTGGAGGCCGGCAACGGCAAACTCTTCTACTTCGAAGAAAGCACAGGGTGGGTAGTGGCAGTAGAAGCTAGGGAACTTAAAAGCCGCCTAGGAATGTACGTAATGACAACTGGATCATGAGGGGCTTTATACCTACAAAGTATACGTGATATTGATTGATAACAGGTCGAAACATGTCGCTTTTTCACAGAAATATTAGCAACAAACGAAGATCAAGCAAAAAAGGGGATCAAAATATAGAAAAGTTGTCATCATGCCTCTTCCAGCCTGTTGTTCCTGAAAGTCCGAGCTAACTACGACCGGGAAGGTGACGGCTACTGTTCACACATGGGCTGTGAGAGGATCAAAATAATGGCCTCCATGGCAAGTGATGTGGTCAGCGACTGTATGGCCAAGGCTTATCCCAAGTACAGCCTGACGCCGACAGAGACTGTCCCCATGCCGAGCTTCCTGAGTCTGGTCAACGACTGTACAGGATGTGGTGCTCCGGTGGGTTTGATTTAAACTGACCAAAATCCGATGGGATTTTGCTCGTCGTTTGCATATATAGCATTAATCAGACATTTTGACTGGGGCTGAATGTATGTAAAAAATAATCTAAGAATAAACTACCAAGGCAAAGTCGACGTCTGCCAATCTCATGCTTCGCTATCCCTTCAGGATCCAATCGTCCACGACGCCAACCAGAAGTTCCTGGAGGTGACCGTGGTTTCAGCCGGGTACAACGAGATGCTGCAGGGTCATACGGCGTTCATAGAGGTAGGGATTCCAGAAGTTATTAAGATGAAACATAAACCCTTATTTAATTACATATAGATAGATGTCAGACACTTAAGATCACATACAAGTTTGCGGTAGGTTACAATTTACAGCACTGATAATATGCTGAATCTCACTTGCTGAGTCCCAAGATTCGCAATGTATCCTATTTTAGCTTTTTGTTCAGAGCTGGTGTATCCATGATTAATTTTCACCATCACACCTGACACTCTCCAGATAGACGGAGCGCGGTTCGGTAATCATTACCGAGGCTTCCGCGTCATCGCCGTTGACGCACTGACCGGTGCCGTGACGCATCAGATGACGTTCGACACCTACGCACAACCCACGGCTGACGTGGCGATGGCGAACTTCATACGGAACGACATCCCGCAAAAGTAATAATATTACAGTTGGCCTTGTAAAAGGACCATTACGTGCAGACGTGTGAGAATGTGACTTAATTTTCGTGACTTACCATGTAAATTTTCAATGACGTTAAGTATCTTTCATGGAAAATCCCTTCTTAAGGCTAGGGTTTACTTAATATGCTTTTGTTGGTTTGATACCAACACGTAAAGGATATGAATTGTATCAATGCCACAGCTCCTTAGATCAGTATATATCATAAGTATTAATTACAAAATGCTGTTCCAAAAATTTCAGTTCCATAGTGCTGGTAGCAGTGAAGGACGAGTCCAGCGTGCACGCACGAGAATGTCTGACAGCACTGAAGGAGATCGGAGCTCAGGAGCCCGTCAAAACTGACCTCAGAGGTGTGTGCACTGTAGCAGCTCAACATGTATTTTGATAATGCATGGGGTATTGGTGCTTAGTGTCTAATTGACATTGTATCAATACCATCGTTCTGCATTGCTTTTGAACCAAGTGCCCAACCGAAGTCAGATTCCATTTACACCTGGATGGAATGCCATGTAACGTGCCTTTCTTAAGTGTCAAATGAACACATCTAGCCGCAAATCAGACCTATTAAATCTCTAACTGGTTTCTGCAAAACTAACCATTGGGCCATTTACATTGTATGCCACACGTGTAACGGGTATATTGTCATTGCTACATTGTTTAAATTTGTATTTTCATCTGCTGCAGGTAATTTCGCCATGGTTGGGTTTAAGGGGACCTTTTGGCCCACCTGGGTCCAGCAAGTCAACCTGCCGTCCGGTCAGGGTCCGGCACAGATCTACACCAAGATCCCGCTCATGGGCTGATGATGAGTGAATATCATGGTTGAGTCAGACAACCATCACAGATGTTCATTCATTCAATAAATGGGAATCATAAAGCAATGCATCCTGACAAGTCTTTTTTTATCTGATACTGACAGGTGGGACAAGAAGTACTTTTGACAGATAAATAATGCAAGTACAGCAAACCATGCTTGGAGAAGGAACATTATAAAAATGTTTAAATTGTTGGAATATTTCAGCTTGCTGCCATTGACCGTTGTGAGATGTAGGCTTATTATAAGGAGCATATTCTGTACGTTTTTTCAGTTTACACGAGACGTGTATTTCACCTCTTGCTTACAATTATGACAAACTTCCGTCTGAAGTGAATGGACCTAAACGATCAGGAACTGAACTATAAGATGACTTTACTGTTCGACACATCATAAGAATTCCTCCTTTCTTACACCTGGATGACAATCAACGAAACAAATGTAGAACTAGAAGTTTTCAAAGGCATACAGATGACATGCTTAATACAAAAACAAGTTCATACATAACATGTACAAAATAAGGTACAGAAATCAGACCTCAAATGTATCATGAAGAAGAATCATTGCATTATCCATACAGAAATCACAGGCTTAGGTGAAATACCCAACATGTACAAGGATGCATGTGACAATGCATGTTGAACAAACAGTAGTTTATGTACACCAGACAGCCCTTGTAGGCTCAGTTATAATAGGATGTTCTTGGGGGATGCCCATGGGCTGCCTGAGGAGGCATGCTGGAGGAAGGAGCAGTACTAACAGACGGCATTCCTCCGGGGACCGGGCCCTGGGGGACAGGGGCAGGGCCTCGGGGAGGGGGGCCGGCCAGGGGCCAGGCTGCCCTGGGACTGTGTCCACCTGGCTGGGCAAAGGGAGGGCTTATGGCTGACTCGTCGTACGGCCGCCCGTGTGAGTCATAACCAGGCCCGCGGACAACGGGAGGTACTGAGTGGACAGGCTGGCCGACGTGTCCGTGAGGCGGTGGTGCGGAGTACGGTATCGGTACGGCCCCAGAGTGGGGTACAGCCGGCGCAGCCCCCTGGTGGATGGGCCGGTACATGGTGCCCTGGTTGTGAGGAGTCTGGTTAGAGGATGCCGCCTGCTTGGCCAGGTCCTCGCTGTCATCTTTGATGGGGACTGTGATGAGGTTACTGCTGCGGCTGCTGGTGACAGGCATGTAGGACTGGGACACAGGGTTGGGGAGGGAGTCCGAGGATGGGGGGTAGCGGTGGTGCTCCGGGG